GAGTCTGTGGTTCATGTTTATGTGAGAAATGTCCATCACTGTTTATCATTACTGTCCCAGCTTTCTTGATGTCTTCGTTTCCTTCGTTTAAGTCTTTTAAAAGTGTCTTTGCCTCAAATTCAAACAACTCAAGTGTTCCAAGTTCAATCCGACGTTTCTCTTTCCTCTTTCGACCTCTACAACCTTTGTTGTCTTCTGCTTTGTATGTAGAGATTAGGACTTTTAGAGTTTTGATAACTTCGATAGAAAACGTCCCTTCGATCGGCCAGCGACTGGCGATATCTGACCACCGATGATGCCATTTTTTCGAAATTTTACTGATATTGTCCACAAGTGGATTATTTGTCTGTACCACTTCTATTGGTGTGATAGTTTTATTCAAACTAGGTTTAGAACTGTCAGCGTCCATTTTGCAAAGCACTGTAACAACCGCGCAATTCAATAAAATTCAAAAGTCAAATCTGATCACTCCTAATTGATTTTAATGTAATCAGAGATTAAGCAACACCATCCTATTTTTACTCAATAGCTTCAACCCAATTGTAAGTCAATAAAATATTACTCATTTCTCTCTTTTTATTTATTTTATCGACTAATTCTATTTTACTTCATAAGTGTTGTAATTTGAACTTGTTAGTGGTAATCTATTACTCTATTCTGTTATTTAAGTCTAAACCAGACAGCAAAAAAATGCAACCTTTTTTGGGATTCCTAAAAGTGAATAAAACCAGACCCAAATATTATTGCAGCATATTTTGGTAAATTAAAAAATGTTTGATTATTTTTAGACCAAAGATAAATCTCTCAGCTCAGTCAGTTGCCAAAGTCCTGTGTCAGTTATAACAGATTTTTGTGTGTAATGATGTCGTCTTACAAACAAGTGCATCATGGGAAACAATTGTGGATAGAAAACACTGCACCTGATGAAGAGCAGCTTTCATTGGATCTGTTGAAAGGACGAAGGTCGTCTTTTTCTCCACTGGACCTGGCTCTGGTCAAACACCTTTGCTCTCGTTCAGCACAAATGAGAGAAAAACAAAACTTCAGTTTGAGTTCATCATAAACATCAAATCAAAAGTGACACATTAGTGTGTATCTAACTCTATCATTATGTCTAAAACATGCTAACATTGATTATTAATGTGACTATGATCAATACTGAGTTTTATGCTGAGATATTTATCACAAAAAGCCATTATATCATAATAAACTAGGCATCAAAATGCTTTATGACAAACACTTAAACATTTTCTCTTTTACCTAACTCCACCCCTGTGAGCCTTCTTTCCACAAAGGCAAAATATTGAAAAGAAAAATACACACACAAAATGACCAGTCTCACTTTCACATATCAAACAAAAACAAAAAACAAAAACTTATTCAAAAGTATAAGTCCACTTGTGATCACAAAATACCAGCTTTTGTGATTGCAAGCAACATAAATCAAAAATCCTTAAACCCAAAATCTAAAAATAATCTTGTTTAATATCAATCTAAGACTGTTAAAATCAATGAACTTTACATTCTTTGATTTTAAGCAAATTTCAAAATGGTTGACCATATCTCATTACCAAATTACTTTCATCAGTGAATTGTTTGTCACTGGTTCCACCCCTTTTCTATTTATTTTCGTCAATGCAGCAAGCATTAATCAAATAACTACTGTAGTACTAGTCAGATTTAAGCAGAATGGGAGACAAGGGAAGGAAAGGCTGCTCCAGCGGAGCAGGAGGGAGGGGCTGCTCCAGCAGAGCAGGGGAAGAAAGAGGAAAACTGTTTGCAGAAAGGAGGCAAACTCACTCACACTTCAGGCCTTTATCTAAACTTCACTTTACAGTCAATTCAAATATCACATTTTAATCCAAATTAGTCAGACTTTGTCCTGGGCCTCAGGTAACACTATTTAAGAACCTAAATTTAGCTTGAATTTGTTTCTAACTGATGGATCATAAGTCAAAGCTATTGTCAATTCATCATGGCCATGAAACTGACAATAATAACCACGTCCATAAAACTACTGCCAAGGCTTTTAGAGACACCATTTTAGACACACTATAGACACACTGGACCTCATTTGACAATGTTCATCAAACTTCTAGCAAGGTTTAAACTAAAAAAAACTAAAAAACTAAACTGAAAAACCCTGAACTTCTTCTCTCATAAACACACTCTCTGTGTGTCTCTATCTCTGACTCTACGTCTCTCTCACTTCTGTTTCTACGCGCCTCGCACTATGACTCTATACGTCTCTCTCCCTTCTGTTTCTACGCGCCTCGCACTATGACTCTATACGTCTCTCTCCCTTCTGTTTCTACGCACCTCGCTCTATGACTCTATACGTCTCTCTCACTTCTGTTTCTACGCGCCCCGCTCTATGACTCTATACGTCTCATAAACACACTCTCTGTGTGTCTCTATCTCTGACTCTATTTCTCTGTGTCCCTGTTCCAGTGTCTCTGTGTCTCTCTGTGTCTCTGTGTCTCTCTGTGTCTCTGTGTCTCTCTGTGTCTCTCTGTGTCTCTGTGTCTCTCTGTGTCTCTCTTCTAACGTAAAAATAAACTGAGTTTATTATTCTCAAAAGCGTTACCTTTGTGAACAATAAACTAAAACAAATTTAGAAATGTAAACCCTTCCAACACTAAACTGTGATTCCGGAGCAAACCAACAATACAGCACAAAGAAGAAAAGATTTTAATGAAATCTCACCCTTTTAGAAAGCCGGCATCTCTTTTCTCCAGTCTGCTGTACGCTGCTCTGCTTCCGTCTCAGATCGAGTCGCCAAAATGTGGCCCAAAGCCACCTAAAAATGTGTCGTCTTTAAAAACTGTTCTGACAGCCCAAAACTGCCGTCGTGACGCCAAAATGTTGTATCTTCTTCTCCGCAGAAGATGGGGTTTCCCGCACAAACCAGTATAGTGTTGGAGAAGGAATGCACTCTGAGTTATGTATTAAAGAAAGAGTTTAATGGCATAATCAGAATACATCAAGTCCAATTCAGGCTTAGCACTGTCAGCCTGGGTCAGCTCAGCGAATGAGGATGGTATGAATGACAAAGAACACATTCAGCACAGAGCTCTTATAGATGCGCAAGGGCAGGATGTCATAAATACTTGTCATTCAATAATCTTATAGACTAGTCCTGGTTAACTCAGTATCTCTGAGTCTTTCTTCCCTGAGGATCTCACTACATGTGGTTTTACTGCAAATGGTAAATAAATCGAATCTATAGACTATTATTGTCCCTCCAGATGTCCTAAGACATAATTATAACCAAACATGCATCCACAAGACATACATGTGCAGTCTAATGGCACAGACGCTGCCGAGATGCAGCTGCGGGTTCTATTGTCTCCAACGTCACATTGGCCTTATGATTTAGATAAGTGACTTCCTGCCATTGCATGCTCACATTATCCCAAACACAATTTTACACATATGAAGATACATACATACTTTATGTTTATGTAGAATTAAAGAATATTAATAATTGCAGACACAACAGGAGCTCTGTCATTGACGACGTATTGAGTTCTTCCTGGCTAAACATCATTTATACACATGCAATGTTTTAATGTCATAGTTGATTTTCTGGAATTTTTCACATTCTTCTACATATTATTACATTTGTTTGCCCCACTGTTCAATGTATAAAATCAGAATTGGATATCATTTGTAATGCCATTGTAACTGGAAATCCCAAACTAGCAATATGCTTTAGCTCATGGTGAAAACAAGTTATAAAAGTAAAAATAGACATGCGGCATTCATACTCAAATCTTCATAACAAAACACTAAGCACAGACTAAGTACATACAAAATGGACAATTCAAAACTTACTTATCTGTTTCCCTAACATTAGAAGATTATGTGTGTTGGCCGTGTTACAGTTAGTACCTCCAAATAATACTTTTAGTCACTGATTCTTTAACCTAACAACGCCACCCTATATTTTAATAGGGAAACCCACAAGGACGCGCATGTCCGTGATTGAGCGGCGCAGGAGACACAAATACGAAAATTGTTCAGTTTATTTACAATAAAGGTAGATACTATGCCCAAACATTATACAAAACATTATCCCCAAATGCCCCCCACAGTTCACTGCCCTACCGGAGGTTTGCGCTGGTCCACAGAGCAGTGACTAGGATGGCGCAAGCGTCAGAGAGCTCGCAGATGTAGCCGGGCAGCTGTGCTGTCCGTCTGAGTCCCAGTCCTAGTCGTCACGTCAAGTCAAGTCTTAACCGGTCGGGAGGACACAGGTACGGAAACTGGGTCCACTTGGGCCGATACCAGCCGATGGCTGGATGGGAGGGAGCAGAAGAGAAGGAATGGGTGAAGGAGAGACCCGCTCTGAGAAATATCCTAAGGAGTTTTAGAAATTTCAGTGATAAAATCCTGCATTGGGGTGGAAACAAACCCAAAAACACCATATTTCCCATACACTTACCCAAAATAAAAGGCTTCAGAGGCGCTGTGCGTGAATATTAGCCGATTAGAATGGCTGGACCCAAAACCGAACTAAAGAGTAAAACTACTTAATTTGATGAAATGATAAAAAGATGAAAATGAAGGCCTTACCAGAGTTGGGCACTGCCACTGTGCCGCAGTCTGGTGCACTTTTTGTGCGAGCACTTGTTGTGCGAGCCCTTGCCTGATGCTGTGCACTACAACAGTCTTCTGGAACAGTCTTCCTGAAGATGTGAGACAGGCCTCCTCGATGACAATGTTTAAAACCAGGTTAAAGACAGTTCTGTTTAGCTGTGCATACAACTGAGGGATTTTATATTTTTATTATCTTTCTTTTTAATGTTCTGTGATTATTTATTTTAATGCTTTCTTATTTTGTTCTGCACTTTGAATTGCCTTGTGTATGAATTGTGCTATATAAATAAACTTGCCTTGCCTTGCCTACAACCAGCGCAAGATAGAATAGATTCAAAATAACAATCATATGGTGCGCATGGGGCGGCTTACCGGGGCTGTTTGTTGTGGCCTGCAGCATGAGCCACGGACTTAGAGTGAGAGCCAAGCCATACGTTCAACTGTGTAAAGTGAACTAGGGAAAGGGAGCATTTTAGTCCAACACCACATTACTTTATTGAATGCACGCAAATACTCACTGAAAAGCAAGTGATGCTCGTTTCAATGGCAAATCACAGATCTGGCAAGGCTCCAGCTCATGCTGCTGCCAGCTCCCAGGCAGTGGGTGACATCAGAGGCAATCTTTTACATGGTGAGGCGGCACGCAATACGCTACCAGCGGCTCAAGGGGCCTACCACCACATGTGCTCAAAAATGATCCCCTTCCTCTACCATCTATTCTTTTTCCTCCTTTTTTCCAGAATGGCTGGGAGTACAACTATGAGAACCGGAGATCTTTTGTCACAGAGGTCAGAAAAGCTACAGTTGTTTATTTATTGTACGAATTCCGCTGCCACACCATGAACTACTGTTGTATCCGCAGTTCGACCTGGTGTGTGGAGACGAGTGGATGGTGGACATGTACCAGTCCTCTCTGAACCTGGGCTTCCTCATTGGCAGCTTTGTCTTTGGATACGCTGCAGACAGGTCACATGGGTCCACCGTCACTTTACTGATGCTGCTTACATAATCTGTATTTACAACCAAAGACGGCAAACACACGGGTGCATCAAAGCCCCTGACCAACACCATCCATTCACACACTCATTACATTAAAGCCTATTGTACACGTTTTTAGTGGTATGAAAAACCGGAGCACCTGGAGGAAACCTACGCAGACACAAGACATTATATACTTGTTTCTTTATTATGCTATAGCTAAACATTTTATACTTGTTTCTTTATCATGCTGATTTTAGATTTTTAGTACAGGAATGTGAATGTGGGCGCACACTCGTTCTCTCACTGCTCTGTCCAGGCTCAGGGCATCACTCACTGTCCTCCATATACATGTATTTCTTCAATATGTCTCTTTTGAATAGCTTTTTAAATGCAGTCATATTTGAGTTTGAATTTGATGTTTTTAATTCTTCTATTAATCCATTCCAAATGTGAGCGCCTCGGACCGAGATACACTGTATCTCAGCTGTTGCTGATTATTACTATTGTTTGGTTTTTAGAATGATGCAGTGTTGGGCACGTTACTTTGAAAAAGTAATTAGTTATAGTTACTAGTTACTTCTCCTAAAAAGTAACTGAGTTACTAACTGAGTTACATAAGGGACAATTTATATTACGTAGGTCATTATCGGAAAATAAGTGGAGGGGTCTGCTTCCTCCCTGAAGGGGCGTATAATAAGCGGCCCTGAAGCTGCTTATCAAATTAAAATCTAAATAAATATCTAAATAAATCTAAATATAAATAAAATCAAATTTTATTTATAAAGTGCTTTTTCATTAAAAAAAAAGAAAAAAAAGTAACACAAAGTGCTTTACAGTTTGGCTAAAAACAATCCAAGATGCCCACCCCTAAACCCCACTGCCCCACAGACCCACCCAAAATCACATTTATTAATAACCATACATCCACATGTATACAGACATACAGATGCACGCGCACACACACACACAAACATACACACACACACACACACAGGCACATGTAAAGTCACAACATAAAGGTAAAATAGGTAGAACTATGGAAAGATATAGGGCTGAGTGCAGATGTAACCGGCTGAAGAAGCGCCATCCAAGGAGCCATCTGCACCAGGAGCAGAGAGCCAGGTGCAGCCGCGGGGAACGACACAGGACCCAGAGGAAAGAGGGGGCCCCAGACCCCACCAGGTCCAGGAGTCAGACCCCCGCAGCCACAGCAGACCCCAGCCCCCCGTGCAGAGGGCTCCTCCAGAGGAAACACTGGGGATTCTAAAATAATACAATACAACATTAAAATGCGACAGTAGCTCAGTTGGTAGAATACTCTGTTTATATATGATATAGTTCCAATAGCCATCACTTATATAGAGTGTTTGTACCTAAACACGGATCTCTCAGTCCTTCCAGTCTTCTCCCACCTATATAATAAAAAAACCTCACATCCTATGCGCTTATCCAATGACGAGAGAGCACGCCTTATAAGGGGTTTCTCCCGTGTGTGCACGCGCACTCTTCAAAACAAACATGGCGGAGAAGGAAAAGCCGCCTCCAGCGCTGCTGCAGACTAAAATACCATGGATTTATTAAATACAGGCAAAACGCCAGAAACAGAGGAACGACAAAAGTAGGAGCAACATGGTGACCAGCTGCATTCATGTTGGCGACCTCTAGCTCCGTGGATTCCTCTCTCCGACTGAACAGGTGAGCATGTTACTCAGTAGTGGCAGTAGTAGTTGTATTATTTATACATATTGTTGCCTGAGACTGTAATGCGGGTTTTCACCAAGTTAGCTAGTTAAAAATCCCCAGCTGTTGTAGGAAATACGGCGCATTTTGTGGCAAATAACTGCGCATTACCTTGGCTTAGCTTTGAGAAACAACAACAGACAACACAACATCGAAGCCTTAGCCCAGCCTTTAGTCATCCATAAACTCCGGTCAATTATTAGTTCCCCACATGTACAAAATTAAATGACCATATCACCAGAGTTCCCCCGTGAAGTGGTGTTAGCATTAGCGTTCGCTGTTAGCATTTAGCGTTAGCGTTTGGTTAGCATTAGCGTTAGCTGTTAGCATTAGCGTTAGCTGTTAGCATTAGCGTTAGCATTAGCGTTAGTGTTAGCATTAGCTGTCTGTAGTTGTGAATATGATGTGGCTGCTACGAACACTTCTGATCTGTATGAATCGTTTGTTTTTGCCAATAAACATAGTTGCTTGAACTATATATATATATGTAGGTCTGCATTTCATTCTTCAATGACTAAGTTTTGCAACTTGCACTCTGTATATTAGTTTTATTGTTATAAAAACAATATCTCTTTACCTCAAATCTAACTTCCGTGACCACTACATACATTTTTATTATTATGTATTGAGAATAAGTAAGAAAAGTCTTGCTGACTACTACCAAATAAATTATGAGCATGATATAATATAGACATTGTAATAATTTACATGTCTTCATTGCATTCTTTTCTCTGTATCTTTTCCAGTATGGCCTAAATCAATTGGAATGAGGTCTTCAATGTACAAGAGTTCAACAGCCTCCATAATGCAAGTTAAATAACTATTAAAAAAAAACAATGCCATAACGACTAGATACTTTTCTGCTGACCTCTTCTTCTCTAGTATTGACTGGGAAGACAAGACTTTGCTTCCAGAAATTAGAAGATCGGCCATTGTCATCTCCTGAGGAAGACTTTACACCCCACATTTGTCATGTAGGTTGTTGTGAATGTAATTAATGGGACGCAGTGATTATGATAATGATGTTGTGATGTGTGTGTCATTCATCCTACAGTTGTGTTGCTGCCCTGAGGTCCAAAATGAATATCGATCATGTTCCAGGAGTCAGTGTTGACAAAACTGGTCGCTGAGTTTCTTCAACAATCAAGAGGAGTGAGATAATCACTCGACTCCCAAAACAGCCGATGTAAGTGTCTTTCTCTCACAATGCACAGTCTCTCACAGTCCAAATAAACATGTTCAAGGATCCTGTGGATCAGGGGCCACTCCTGGTGATCCAATAAATACTGATGTTGTTGATGATGAATATATCAAGTCATATTTGAGTAGATAAAAACTGATGTCTCTCTATTATGTTTCAAAGGAAAATCTCTGCCAGAGGAAGACTCCAGTTCCTTCAACCTGGGCCCCTGAAGCGTGGCTGTGTGTGCGTGTGACTGTGTGTGGTGTGGCTGTGTGTGCGTGGCTGGCTTATGAATTAGTTTGAGGAAATGTTTTCAAACAAGCTACATCATAAAGATTAACATTTTGTTAGATATCTCTTGATAGTGTTCGCTGCAGCAGCGCGATAAGGACCTGGATAATAACAGTGTTATTCATTTGAGCAAAAAGTGATAACACAAACGTTGCCTTACCATCACTTGTAAATTATTCGCTTAGTAGGGACATTGTGTATATTTTTCTGCTATAACTTCAAATCTTCTTTTACATAATAAAGTTTCTAGACTCGTTACAGACTGTATTTGTTTTCCTACTATAAACAAAGCACATTGAAAGAGGTGAATGTATTTTTTTTATTTTGAAATAGTACAACTACAAACATATTTCAGAACTGCAGAGTGGACGTGCACCATGGGGCCGCTGAGGACGTGCACCATGGGGGGCCACTGAGGACGTGCACCATGGGGGCCGCTGAGGAAAGCACGTTTTCAATGTCTGTTGGCACCTTTCACAGACGCACCAGGTATGGGAGATTTTCTTGGTCATCAGCTTCTCTGGACAGAGGGCGTTCAGTGCTTCCTGAAAGAACCGTTCTGACAAAATGACTTTATATATTCTGTTACTTGTAGCTTTTCCTTCAAAGTGGTGAGTTTTCCTTACAGTGTAATAGTGTTAACGGTAAGTAGTTATGACAGTACTTTGTGCGTTTCGGGACAAGCTTTACTGGAATTGTTTTCAGTCCCACATCTCACTGTACAGTCCTGATACACTTTGATTTTGTCTTCATTACTACTGAACAATAAGCTCATAATACAGATGTTGTTTACATCAATAATATATATCTTTATTTGGTGACATTGAGAAGGCAGCTTCAGTAGATGCAGCTTTACTTTCACATAATACATTTCTACAGTGTTGGTCTATATGAACTCCAAATATACAAATGTGAGGAAATCAGTATGGTATTACTTTAAATAACCTTAATGTAAAGCTTTGGTGGTGTAATGTATACATTACATCATCTAATATCATATGCACTGTATCAGATTTACAGTGCATAATGTTGAGGACACTCACACTCAATTCTTCAACATTATGTTTATCACAAAAAACATTATCAGTGTACCAACTATAAAAGCAGTATTATTCTATTAAAGACTGGATTGTTTTTATTCTCTTTCTAGTGATGCTGATCACTAGGCTAAGCACCAAGCTGCTTCCAGTGTTATAGCTAGTTACAACTGATCCGATTCTATGCTAATTATTTCACATTCCCAGAAGTTGTTTGTTAATATACTTAACTAAGTTATAGACCCACGGAGATGAATCGGCTGCTAGCATCACCAACACATGCGCGTATCATTGGTGTACGAGGAGAACGGGGCGGGGCTACTAACTCGCTCAGCAGAAGAAACTGCCGGAAACGGACCAAATCGATTACTGCTAGCTTTAAGAGTGCTTTCCCCTCGCAGGGACGCGGGATCCACGGACAGCAGTAGAGTTTTGCTGCAAGAGTCCAGGGTTCTGCTGAGGGGCTGGGAATGTCAGCGGAGAGGGCTGCATAGCGGTTTGAAAAGGCTCAGGACATGGGCCACGGCGCTGGATGGCCTCCTCGCAGTCCGCAGGCTCCTTTATTTCCGAACGGGCACTTAGGTTAGAGCAAGAGGCCCAGAGCTGACAGACAGATCTCTCCCACACGACATGTCTCACAGTATGCAGCGCTCAAGTGAACATGAAGCCTTGAGTGCTGCCGCAGCGACATCAAAAAGTTTTGGACTCCGTGTGACTGTTTTTCCTGCAGCTCTGCAGTGAGGCGAAGGACTTACTTTACGAGGGTCTGCAAGAGTGGCACGGTCCCTCTCACGAAGCTCCAAAGTGAAGGCGACTAATGTCGTTCGTGGTCATTTGCAGTGTCACTACTTCCAATGTCTGTGGTGCCTCGAGTAGCCTCGAGCTAGCGCGTTTCGATTGGGTCTTTGTGTAAAAGACGTGAAGCTCTGGAACCATTGCATTTAAGATAATAAAACACTAGAGTGTACAAAAGACAACTAATACAACCGTAAAAAAGTGTTTAAAGGCTTTAAAAAGGCTTAAATATGTAAACAGAGCTGAGACGTCAAAAACGCGTAGCTCACTCCATGTAGGCCAATGCGACAAACAACAATGAGAGAAATGTTGTCCGAGGTTTTTCCCATCAGGTTGAAGGAAGGTCTCGACCTCTGTCGAGAAGGAGGCCTCAGAGGATCCAACCAGCCTGGGTCCGTGTGAATGTGTTCAAAAGGAAGTGAAACGAGCCCCGCTGGACCGGACCCTTTGAATGGTGGCCCCAACGGTCGCAAAGGCTGTTCAACTGAAGGGACACGGAACAAGTGGTTTCATCTCTCTCATACGAGACCGTCTGACCCACCCTCGGAACCACGCTCACCGGTTTGGACAGGGACTCACACACACGCTTACCACGCGCTCGTTAATATGTTGGCCTTGGGACAGAGCCCTGGCCCACGACCAAAAGAGGGAGAGCCATCCTATTGGCTATCGCTGCAGTTGGTTTGGTCGGGTCCTGGGTATTTTAACATGGAAGTGTTAGAAAACACACAGCTAAGAGACCGGGCCACAGACTTGTAAACCATTCCAAGTCTTTGTCCAATAAGACTGACAGAAATAAAAGATCCATAGGAGAATGCAGCAGTTAGAGACTCTCTAACTACGATTGGTGATCATAAAATGCCAGGTGTGTGCGACAATTAACAGCCCACATACAATGGCACACAATCTTTCCATTATCCCTTTCGACCTGACTACACACTCTACATGTGTTACACAACCGGCAACAGGTAAATAGAGAGACATGGAAAAATCTTTAGAGCATCGGTGGACTGCAACCTGTGATGCTTGGGAGTATGTTATATCTCAATACAGTCCTGATTGGGGTTTAATAATGACCACAGATTGGAAGGGGACGAGTGATTTGACTACAGACCACTCACAAACAACGGTGCTAGTCTCTGTGAAGAAATTGTGGGATTGATGAGAATGGGACTTACGTGTATTGACATTATCCAGGAGTCATTAGACAATGGATTGTGTTTCCCAATTTTTTTTTTTTTTTGCCCTAGCCCGAGGACAAGGAGCTAGACAAGGGGGCCATAGATAGTGAAGTATGGGCAAACAAACAAAACGTACAGGTGACTGCTGACTGGACCCTGTTTCTGAATTGTTAAACATCTACTGGATATGAGGATAGAAACGCTTGGTTGTGGACAGGGATACTCATGTCAGCGGCTGCTGCTTTGGACGATTGTGTTGTGTGTTCTAACTGCACGTCCCACTGTGTATACAGCCCCTGCTCCCACCTTTTCCCGAAGAGGTAGATTGGTTATAATTGTATGATAAAGTTGTTTTGGCAAGATAAAGAACCTGAACTGAGGATCAAAGACAGCCCCCTTGTAATTGTCAATGTTTGAAGTATTGTTTTTCCAGAATTGGATTCAAAATTCAGCCCCCTATGTTTTCCCACAGAAAAGCATTTACACCTGTTTGCCCACTCACTCGCGCCAGCAGCACAAATGATCAATGGAGGGACAGGCCGCTGTCTCCAGTGGCGGGTTCCTTCCAGCAGACTGGTGTGTCCAACAAAGGCACCCCTGCCCAGCCGGTCCACATGACCCGACCAGAGGGTGATTGTATTGGTTGTGTGGAGATTTTAAAACTTAGACATAGACTAATTAAAAATGTTACAGGTAGTTGTGCAAAGTGCGATTAATGATGCCCATTTCCTTAATTGGGCCCATAAGCCACCCGAGACAGTCCCCACGCCACTGCCATAGATTTAAAAGAGCAATACCCATTCCGAGATACTGGGAAAGGATAATCCTACTTACATGGACTCTATAGGTTTCCCTGGAGTCCCTCAGGAATTCAAATCTGGTATGAGCAAGTTGCAACAGGTTTTCGAAAATCTTCCAATAATTTCCGCTATTTTCCCTATCAACGCCAAACAAAAATGTAGATAGAATTAATTTCATTTGGTATACTATCCTTGGCTTTGCAATCACACCAGGGAAACGCAATAAGGATTGGCGGAGGCACTGTGGGGCCGACCTCTCTGGTAGCATTTCAAAACAGAGTGCTCTAGACATGCTCTTAGCAGAGAGAAGGTGGTGTCTGCAGTTTATTTTGGAACCATAAAGTTGTGTAATACATTCCAAATAACACACGAGCCAATGGATCAGTTCCCAGGCTCTGGCTGGTTCTCAAAATGCCTGTCAGAGAAAATCATGACGTTTCTAGGAGTCCCGGAGAACCCACCTGGAGGCGGGGCTGGAACAGCATCTTGGGAAGTGGAAAGCATTAATTTTGTCTGTTATCACAAGCCTTGGCGGCCCATCTTTGCAATAATATGGTTTGTAGGATGCCTGCTGTATACCTTGTAACGTTCTCTTTGTGTTAAAAGCTATAGACACCGCGTGTTAAACCCTGGACTGAAGTCAAATGCTTGCATTGGTTAGGATTCCCCCGTCCCGTCGCCTGAGAAGTTATTGAAATTGGTTGGCCTTTTTAATAGCGCCAAAGAGAGGAACTGTTGTATTAAATATAGCCTTGAAAAGGCGATGTGAAATTAGATTGAACTGAAATTGAAACCTGTCTGTCTCCAAAGCAAAATGAAAGACCTTTGTATTTTGCCCTACTCCCTTGTCCCATTTTGTCCAAAGTCAATGGGTGAGTTAATGCTAGTTTATCTGGGGGGATTCTGCTAATCTTTCAGTTGTGAAAAAGGAGAGCTTTTGCCCTATCTCAAAGGAAAACCAATAAATCTATAAGGCTGGTGTAGGGGGGAGTTGTTTGAATAATTATGTCTAGGTCCTGGCGAGACGGGGAAGACATGATGGAGGCCGGACCCGGGACCCGAGAGAACTACTCGCCCCCTTCTTCATGCACATTTTCTTAATAACCTCATGCTGGTTTTTTAGAAAAAACTGATCAGGGACAGCTGTGTGACTTTGCGTGGAGCGCCCACCCAAGTCATACTTTATAACTTTATATAGGGAATATAGGGATAGTTAAAGTTGGTCCAGGGTCCGTTTGTGTTAGATTCTTTTGGTATTAGTGAAATAAACCTTTTTGAATTTAACGTCGTATCATGGTCATCTTATAAGGTATTTTGAACAACGTCATTTTTTAATACGATAATGGACATATTGGGCTTCTGCTCTTATATGAACCAATGACCAATGTGTTTTATATCCTTGCAGTTCTTCTGTTTGATCTGTCGGATTCTCTGTGTCTGCGAATTCAAAAAATTTGTGATGTCTCTGAGATAACTTGCATAGGGCTATACAAGAATACATTGAAATTGAATGATAACTCTAATATAAAAACACAATAGGATGTATTCCAAAGACTGCTAGTTAAGAAACAATTACGTCTAATTACATGGAAATGTAACATTTTAGAACAGATACAATATATGTTTTTTTTTCCTGTGAGACAATTGGCAAGTAAGTGTAACCAGTATGTAACATAGAAGCCCCTTTCCATCAATGCTGCAAGTTTAAAGCATCAAAGATAATTGAAAAACCTTCCAATGGCCACTAACATTGGTCCTCGGTGTCCGACTTGGCCCACCGGACCTTCCTGCAATCGCTTGGAACAACTCAAGAACGCAATGGGAAAAAAGTAACCTAAGTAAGTAAGAAACCTTGGGCAGTTTCCATTTTGAAGTTCATCCTGGAGAGACCCACAATCGGGGAATGCAATTAAAGTTTTATTGTGATTAAGCATGTTTGGCACCCTAGGGCCCCGGAGCGTGATGTTTGAGTGCGCGCGAGCGCTTGCCCGCAGGCTCATATTTCCCGACCAAAAGAGACAGGCGGGACGGCGATGGGATAGCAGGACCACGCGCAGGCCTGAGAGCATGAGTGCAGGCTTCTCGCATGGTCGCTCAGAAGGCTGCGTCTGATGGATCCGGCATCTGTTTGGAGCAGATGCGGGCCTGAGCGAGCTGAAGAACCATGAGCGCACGGGGCCAGCAGGGGTGCGTCATGTTCTCACAGACGCTGCACACTCTGGGAGCAGTGGTTTATCCCTACAGGCGGAGAAAATGAGCGCCGGGGCTGCTCAGGCACCCACTCCGGGGAGTAAAGTGCGAGTCCAGCACGTGCAATCAATGTTCACCAAACGCTGCAAACTAGGAAGCGGGGAGAGCGTTGGAGGGGAGGGCGTGCCGCCACCAGGAGTCTTATGGTGCTTTCAGACCAAACGCGATTTCTGCCCGGCCATAATCGCGTCTATCGCGCGGCTTGTGCCGGCTTGTGACAAATTGTGGCAGCCGCTGTCACAGAGAAACTTGGCCGCGCGGCCAGGACACTAAGAGGGCAGCCATGTCACAAAGCGTTGAGAGCGTCTAGGGCGGGCGTGTCTCTTTTTTGCCTGTATCTTCCTCCCAACATGGATTCCTGCGAAGGAAGTTAGCGTTAATATCTGTTAAAAAAAGCCAGACAACGTCGGCAAAGGCGAATCGACGACGTTCTGGATTCATCAGATAGTCCGTAGACGGTTGGAGTTTGGTGAGTTTCACAATTTGCACCGGGAGGAGCTTAGCTCGCATCGGATGAGGGTCGTTTCAGCGGTATCTTTTCGTCTCTCCCTGGCCCAGTTTGACGACCTACTGACCCACATGGGCGCTAGGATCTCCTACCAGGACACCAACTACAGGCGCATCTATTCCTGCTAAGATCGCACTGTCCTTCCTGTCTGCGGTTAGTGTTTTTTACCGCCATTCAGAATTCATATAATACTTACAAAGTGTGTCATTTTTCGAATCACAATCCACAATGTAATTGCTCAGAAAACAGGTATTATCAACAATAGGGTGTCTATATTACTGTCTATGAGTTTACAGTCTACTAGTTTAACGTATTTTAGCACACAAGTTTTGTCCACGTGCTGTTTATGAATGTACTTGTGATAAATATGTTCATTATCATTTTGTTAATGCATGGTTTCTTGCCACTGGGGACTCCTCAGGACCATGCGGGGAGCTTCAAGCGGGCATATCCCACCGTCTCCTTGCTCATCCCAATGTGGTGGCAGCCATCTGGACGTGCCCTCGTGAGGAGTTCATGGCTGTGCCTGGACAGAAGGAGTGGAGGTCGATGGATCATTCCCTCTGTGCTGTGGGGCCATTGATGGGAAGCATGTGGCTGTGAAGGCACCCCCCAACTCTGGGTCCAGTTTTTTTTAATTATAAGGGCACCATTCCCTTGTCTCCTGGCTGTAGTGGATGCCCCAGTACAGGTTCAGGGTGATTGATGTGGGAGGGTACGGCAGAGTCCAGGCGATGGAGGCATCGGTCAACTCTGCCTTGTGAGCTCTGGCGAAACAGCTAGTGGGGTTTGCAGTTCAAAATACATCTGCTATTGCCAGCAGAACATTTTAAAATTAAAAACGGTGTTAAGAGGTTAAGGAAGCAGACACAGTCTCTACATTGAAGGCCAGGCTTAAAACAGTCTTCTACAAAATTAGCATATTGTTAATCGCTCGGCATAAGACTCAGGGAAGACTAAAAATGTTATATTGTCAGTCAAGCTTCATATGGAGTCAGTTTCCTACTTTATCTGTCTGCACTATTAAGATTTTAACTGTAGTCTGTTCACCCGTTGTCTCATTGTCTTTTTCATGGCGCAACGACCGGACCCCTGAAGCCGGCCCCCTCCATCTGCACCTGCATCCTGCCGCCTGGGAGTTGCTTCAGTCCTGCAACGCAGGTCCTGTAGCTTAGGTTCTGGATCTATAGCACGTCCGTCCGTGTGGAGCGGAGACCTCTCTCAATGTGGATTTCCCAGAGGTTTCTCTAACATTCTTCGACATTTATGGATATTTATCAACATTCATGGACATTGGTCAACTCCCCCTATGGGCCACTACCTATGTGTTCTGTATTTTGAACTGTTGAACTGTTTGAACAGTTTGATTCTCTGACCTGTGTTTGCGATTTCAACGGCTTTGTTAAGTCCTCTGAGATCATTGTTGTTGTGATTGAGGGCTATACAAGAAGAAATTGAATTGAATTGAATTGAACTGTTACAGAGACAAAATACTTGGGGGTCTACTTGGACAATACCTTGTCATTTAAAAAGCATTTCAAAAATGTAAGTAAATCAATAAAATATAATGTATCATCTTTAAGACATTTGAGGAACTGTCTGACAGTTGATGCGCCGTTCACCTATTTCAATCCTATGATTGTTCCTTACATCACATACTGTTTATCCAGCTGGTCTCAGGCCAATGAGAATGTGCTTAAACCCCTCAGGTCAGGGTATAATAAGGCTTTAAAGGCACTGGACAAAAAAAATTGCTATCATCACTGTAATATTTTGAGTAAGTATAAATTGCTGAGTTTTGACCATTAAATTACATTCAATAATCTAAGAAGCATATAGTAAGTAAGTAAGTAATCTTTATTTATATACCGCCTTTCACAGACCAGAGTCACAAAGCGGTTTAACATTTTTATTTTTGGGCATTTGTCTCTCACCCCACACAGAGATGGGAGCAGGGTCGCCAGTACATGAGGCGCATGCCAGACCTATTGTACGTATTTTTAGTGGTAGGGGAAACCGGAGTACTCGGAGGAAACCTACGCAGACACGGGGAGAACATGCAAACTCCACTCAGAAAGGTCCTGGTCCGACCGCGATTCGAACCCAGGACCTTCTTGCTGAGAGGCGAGAGTGCTATCCACTCAGCCACCGTGCCGATTCAAAATCACAAAAAATGTAGCTCCACCTCCAATCTTTGTCAAACTTTGTTCTGAACAAATATCTCGATTGACCCGGTCGACTGTAAACAAAAACTGTGTGACCCCATAAAGATCGTCGGCTTTTTCACAATCAGCCTTTTCATGTTGTGCCATTAAACAGTGCAACCAGCTTCCGGACAGTCTGAAATTGTCTGTAGATCAGAAACATTTTACTATTAATTTGAAAAAGCATATTTTAGATAGTCAATTGTGTCAACATCTATGAACATTAATAGCATTAGAAATGTTATTTATTTTAGGAAAACATTGTATATACAGTGCATTGCGAAAGTATTCGGCCCCCTTGAACCTTTCAATATTTCGCCACATTTCAGGCTTCAAACATAAAGATATAAAAATTAAATTTTTGTCAAGAATCAACAACAAGTGGGACACAATCGTGAAGTGGAACAAAATTTATTGGATAATTTAAACTTTTTTAACAAATAAAAGACTGAAAAGTGGGACGTGCAATATTATTCGGCCCCCTTGCGCTAATACTTTGTAGCGCCACCTTTTGCTGCAATTACAGCTGCAAATCGCTTGGGGTATGTCTCTATCAGTTTTGCACATCGAGAGACCATTCTTCCTTGCAAAACAGCTCGAGCTCAATGATGTTGGATGGAGAGCGTTTGTGAACACTGGATTCAGGTCTGGACTTTGACTTGGCCATTCTAACACCTGGATACGTCTATTTGTGAACCATTCCATTGTAGATTTGGCTTTATGTTTTGGATCATTGTCCTGTTGAAAGATAAATCTCCGTCCCAGTCTCAGGTTTTTTGCAGACTCCAACAGATTTTCTTCCAGAATGGTCCTGTATTTGGCTCCATCCATCTTCCCATCAATTTTAGCCATCTTCCCTGTCCCTGCTGAAGAAAAGCAGGCCCAAAGCATGATGCTGCCACCACCATGTTTGACAGTGGGGATGGTGTGTTCAGGGTGATGAGCTGTGTTGCTTTTACGCCAAACATATCGTTTTGCATTGTGGCCAAAAAGTTCGATTTCGGTTTCATCTGACCAGAGCACCTTCTTCCACATGTTTGGTGTGTCTCCCAGGTGGCTTGTGGCAAACTTTAAACGAGACTTTCTATGGATATCTTTGAGAAATGGCTTTCTTCTTGCCACTCTTCCATAAAGGCTAGATATGTGCAGTGCACGACTGATTGTTGTCCTATGGACAGACTCTCCCACCTCAGCTGTAGTTATCTGCAGTTCATCCAGAGTGATCATGGGCCTCTTGGCTGCATCTCTGATCAGTCTTCTCCTTATTTGAGATGAAAGTTTGGAGGGACGGCCGGGTCTTGGTAGATTTGCAGTGGTCTGATACTCCTTCCATTTCAGTATAATTGCTTGCACAGTGCTCCTTGAGATGTTTAAAGCTTGGGAAATCTTTTTGTATCCAAATCCGGCTTTAAACTTCTCCACAACAGTATTTCGGACCTGCCTGGTGTGTTCCTTTGTCTTCATGGTTCTCTCTGCGCTTTAAACAGAACCCTGAGACTATCAAAGAGCAGGTGCATTTATACGGAGACTTGATTACACACAGGTGCATTCTATTTATCATCATCAGTCATTTAGGACAACATTGGATCATTCAAAGATCCTCACTGAACTTCTGGAGTGAGTTTGCTGCACTGAAAGTAAAGGGGCCGAATAATATTGCACGCCCCACTTTTCAGTTTTTTATTTGTTAAAGTTTAAATAATCCAATAAATGTCGTTCTACTTTGCGATTGTGTCCCACTTGTTGATTCATGACAAAAAAATTAAATTTTATATCTTTATGTTTGAAGCCTGAAATGTGGCGAAATGTTGAAAGGTTCAACGGGACCGAATACCTTCGCAAGGCACTGTACGATTGTATTTCTGTGTGAGGCAAGTTTGTTTTTATATTTGTGATGTGTGCACTGTATCTGTGTGTGTTCACCTGCAAGGGACTACAGATGGAAAGTAGCTGCAGCTAAATCTGGTGCAAACCATCTCTTCTTTTGTAAAGACTAATGGTTTTTGTACATTGTCCCCGTTTTATAAACTAAAGTAAGTAAACTAAACTCCCATACGCTTAGTTAGTTCATTGGTGCATTGGTGAAAATTGACACATCACTGAATCCATTAGTAGTCATTGTGGCCTTCTAGAATAGTAAGGCTCATTTGATCTTCCAAAGAGAGCTTAGGTGACGAGCCCAACCCCATGGCAGTGGTACGCACCTGTCCGTCGAAAGCTGCCACGCTGGCGGTGTTGATGATGCAGCCTCTGTGTCCATCTGCGTCAGGTTCATTTTTCCCCATCTCCCCAACAGACAGACGGATCACGTTAAAGGAGCCGGCAATGTTCACCTGGCATCACAAACACAGTCAATCATTTCAAATTTTTCAGATTTAGCACTCCTTTTCAAATGTTTACAATCTGGTGTACCTGGTTTTCAAAATATGTTGCTTGTATTCAGTTTTTGGAAAATAGCAGGTTTAAAAAAACTATTAACTCAAAGAAGTTCAATCATTCTAAAAAATAAAATAATGATACGGGTGAAGTTAGCCAATATTTGTATGCTTGTAGGTTGAGGTGAGTATTTAGCTGTCTATGAAGGTATTGTGTGAGGCAGAGTTTCTGAAGTGTCCCTTGGCTCCTCACATTGATGACACGTTGGAAGTCCTCTAAACCGTGTGGAAGGTCCTTTTTGAAGTTGTAGGTTTTGACGGCAACAGCGATGCCAGCACAGTTCACCGCCAGGTCCAGTCTGCCGAAGCGTTCCCGCGCTAAGGTCACAGCGGCACGCACATCCGCCTCTGAGGTCACCTGCAAGACGCAAGTGTGTCTTTCAGCTCTCCATTCAAAAACAATGAGAACATTTATGATGCATTATGAGTCTTCACACTGACGTCAGTGGGAGCAAAGGCACAGCGCTCTCCAAGGCTTGCGGCCACAGCAGCTCCTTCAGACGAGGGAAGGTCCAGGATCACCGCTGAGGCTCCCCTCTGCACCAGGCGCTCCACTGTGGCCCTACCCAGACCGGAGGCCCCGCCACTCACCACGCCCACCATGCCCTGGGGAGCACAGACAGCATGTGAGGGAATGTCGTGTGCAACTGAATGTATACTTACTACAGCACTACATTCTTTAAGAAAGCTCAGGGCAGACTTTTCTTCCTGAGAAGACTGAGGTACTTTGATGAGAGCAGTCATATTTTGCACATAATTTACCAGTCTGTGGTCGCTAGTGCCGTGTTCTTTGGGGTCACGTGTTGGGGGCAGTCTGACCTCGAGAGACAGTAACCGGCTCGACAGGCTGATCAGGAAATGTGTCTCTGTGATGGGAAGAAGGATGAGGGCTCTAATGCAGGGCATGCTGGGTAGCTCCAGACACCCTCTGCATGACACTATGGCCACTCAGAGGAGTAATAGAACCATCAGGCTCTTATCACTGCGCTGCCGAACGGAACGTTTCAAGAGATCCTTTTTTTCCTTCGGCTGTCAGACTGTACAACAAAAGTCTTCTGCAGCTGGACACCTGAATTGGGGAATCCATAAAATATCTACCTAACTAGAGTGCCTTGCGAAAGTATTTGGCCCCATTGAACCTTTCAACATTTCAGGCTTCAAACATAAAGATACAACATTTAATTTTAATTTTAAAGTAAGAATTTTGAAATGATTGAGAATTACAATTTTTTTTTAATTCATAAAGTCGTGCTTCTGGCCAAACCAGTGCACAGAGACCATGAAGACAAACACATGCCTGTGATTTGTGTTGCTCTACATCAGTCTTCTGGCCCGTACTGTCCTCTACACTTATTCATAGACCAGCCATTCCCAAAGTCAGTATCACCCCCTTAAAAATTTGACAGATCTCCGCGGCCCCCCGAAATAATAACCAAGAAGACAGCGTTAAAATTAGGCTTTTCTCTTTATTTTATGTCGGAGAAATAGCCTTTGCGACAAACATGAAAATGACGCACCCTATTTTGTAATACAAAAATCAGTAGAATTTGATTATTCAAGTCAAATAATGAACACAAATATTTTAATATTACAAACAAAATATTATTAATTTAACATACAATAATTATATATATTTTTTAAATGTATATCCTCTCGCGGCCCTGGGAGACACGGTCATAGACTACACAGGGAGAGCATCAGAAGCTGCTGACCTGCACGCACGGCCAGTGTACATACAACCAAATAATGTTACGAGCAAATGCGCGCCGTTAACGCCCACTGTGTAAATTCCCTGTTAGATTGCCGGGGCTTAGCAGCACGCACGGCAGAGGCTCTAATAGTGTTTTACCATGGCTCTTATAATATATAGCTTTACAAACGCGGTATGAAGAGAAGAGACGCCTGGAGGAATGGGAAATGCTGAGGGCGCTTAAAACACCGCGGTAAAGTGGCCTTGCATTTCGTCGGCAGCGGTAAAGAGGTCCGCACTTTGAAAGCGGTTGGCCCCATTATGCTGTTACTTACGGTAAACGTGGAACGGGGAGCCGCGACGAGAAGCAAGCAAGATGCAATTTTATTAATAATATCACAAAAAAAAGAACAAAGAGTTTTGCGACTACTTTTACTGCACACTTGTTCACTGTGATGCCCTCTACCGCTGTGTAAAATATCATTCACTTTTACTGTAGAAATTCAGAGATAATTGGGGTAAAAGTGTGCACAATTGGTCCCAAAAGCACTTTTTTAAATTCATTGTTTTTAAATCTAAAAAAGTTCCCTGACTACTTTCACTGCACACTTGTTGACTGTGATGCCCTCTACCACTGTGTTAAATATCATTCACTTTTACTGTAGAAATTCAGAGATAATGGGGGTCAAAGTGTAACATTTTGGTCCCAAAAGCACTTTTTAAAAATCATGTTTTTTAAATCTAAAAGAGTTCCCTGACTACTTTCACTGCACACTTGTTCACTAAGATGCCCTCTACCACTGTGTAAAATGTCATTCTCTTTTACTGTAGAAATTCAGAGATAATTGGGGTCAAAGTGTGCTATTTTGGTCACAAAACCCTTTTTAAAATTCATTTAAAAAAAATCTAAAAAAGTTCCCTGACTACTTTCACTGCACACTTGTTCACTAAGATGCCCTCTACCACTGTGTAAAATATCATTCACTTTTATTGTAGAAATTCAGAGATAATGGGGGTCAAATTGTGCCATTTTGGTCCCAAAAGCACTTTTTAAAATTAATTTTAAAATGAATTTTAAAAAGGGCTTTGGGACTAAAGACCCTAATTTTCTCTGAATTTCTACAGTAAAAGTGAATGATATTTTACACAGTGGTAGAGGGCATCACAGTCAACAAGTGTGCAGTGAAATTAGTCAGGGAACGTTTTTATATTTAACAAAAAATGAATTTTAAAAAGTGCTTTTGGGATCAAAATGGCACATTTTGACCCCTATTATCTCTGAATTTCTACAGTAAAAGTGAATTACATTTTACACAGTGGTAGAGGGCATCACAGTGAACAAGTGTGCGGTAAAAGTAGTCGCAAAACTCTTTTTGTTCTTTTTTAATGATTTTATTAATAAAATTGCATCTTGCTTGCTTCTCGTCGCGGCTCCCCGTTCCACGTTTACCGTAAGTAACCGCATAAAGGAGCCAACCGCTTTCAAAGTGCGGACCTCTTTACCGCTGCCGACGAAATGCAGGGCCACTTTACTGCAGTTCCACACTTCACTCACTCTTTCATCTTGAATAAAACACAGTCAGGTCAGGAGTTTATTAAAGTTACATTTGTATATTATGTGTTTTTATTGTCTTTTTGTTTGGGACAGTGCTGGTTAATCAACACACCTCTCTGGATAGTTGTTCTAAATTGCAACTTTTTTTGATTTGAACTTTAGGACTTCCAGCTTTTTCATGGACATAAAGCAGCTTTCTATAAGACAAGGATTTCTTTCACATTCACACAAAAACGAAAAATGTCTAATAAGATAAGATAAGATAGACTTTATTGATCTCACACAGGAGAAATGTACATGTCTTTTGGTATGGATAGAATCACTCAGATTTGTGTAAAAGACAGAAGTGTGAAACATGTAAAAAAATATAGTCTGTGCAGGATATATTTTGTACAATAAAAAGCAATTTAAGAAACAGTGGCTAGTAGTGCAGGTTTTTTTTTTTTAATATAATCAGAATTTCTTTCCAATGACAAGGCACCAAGAATTTTCTCCCACCTTTTTTGGTGTTTTTCTTTTTCAACTGAGCATTCTTCTAAACTGTGATAGTGCTCAACATAATAATTAAAGCTTGCAGTATTTAAAGATCGTTCGTTACTCGACTTGAATATGAAGTGTTTCCCTGTAGAGAAAAAATACATTTACACTCTCTTTAAATGTTTTTTGGTTTTGTTTGTCTTGATTTTTATTGTCCTTGATAAAAAATATCAAATATGTACATTTGCAGCTTTCAACATTTCCATCCTCAGTTCTGACATATTTAAAATGGGTCTAATGAACGTATAGGTACAGTAAATGTGTTTTTATAGTGTTAACTTGTGTGAAGAAGAATTTCCTCTCTGGAAATTCAATATTTTCGATTGTGTCTTGCAGAGAAAACCCTCTGGTCTCAGGGAGGAGCAGCACCAGACCACAAGCCAGGACGGCGAGGGAACCTACCAACCAGTGAGCGTGAGAGCAGCAGGAGGTGCATGAAGCTGCTAAGTTCTACTCAAGGATCTAGGTACTATTGCATTTCTAGCTTGTTTTATTCTTGTACTCAGTGTCAATGTGTGTTCTCAGTGTGCAGAGATACTGTTTGGAATGATTTGTAAGATAGGATAAATGTTATGGATTTCACAATGAAGAAATTTACACGTCACATTCGGCAAGGATCGATAGAATCACTCAGGTTGTGGCTGAGAGGTGTAGGGTGGGAAAATGTTTGGGCCTGTGTGTTGTCGGAGTGAGTGTGTGTTTTCTTCTTTATATTCCTCCTGACCGCCAGAGGGCGGTGCATAGCACTGAATGTTCCCTGCGCCTGCTCGAAGGGAACATTCAGTGCTTGTGAGGTAGTAAGCAAGAGTGGGTCAAAGTGGCAGAAGAACAAAACAAAGGCTCCAAAACTTGTAACAAAAAGGGTGGATTTATTTACAATGCTCCCAAATATACATGTTCTCTCTCCAAAAACCAACATGGAAAGTGCCTCTCCTTTTCTCTAGAACAGCCAGCACACCTGGCATATATACATGGCCTAAATTGACTGGCTCCTCCCACTCGGCTGGAATATGCTTTTATATACAGCAATATGCATCTGCAAACATAACAAGCAGCAATTACTGCACAGACAGCAACAAAGCATGCACACAGTTAAACAACAATGATGCAAATCAACATTAAACCCCTAAACCAGGGGCCGTATTCCTAAAGATTCTAAGAGTCCTCTCAGAGAGCTCCTATCTTACCCTAAAAACTCCTAGCTAGGAGTCTTAGCTTAAAAGTTATTCCAGAACACTCTTAGAGAACTTTGAGCAAGGAATTGACAACAACTTTTATCTTAGTGAGGAGGCGTGGCCGACCCCGTTGCTAGGTATGAGTCATCATTTCAGACGCTGTGATTGGTTGATCTTAAAAGTTAGTAAAAACATATTTTTGATGATAATGGGCAAAATAAGGGCCCTAAAATGGACAAACTCAATCATGGAATCTAATCTTAGGAATACTGTGTTATTGTAAATAATAACCAAACGCTATAAAGTCAGATATATCAATGGTGCATAAATACTGTGAATAGTAAGATAGACTTTTACACCACATCATCAGAGCTTGCTCAGCACCAATTTCTAACAAATACATAGTACGTATATATCATGAGCACTTATAATTTTATATATATATATATATATATATATATATATATATATATATAATATATATATATTTATGTATATATACATACAATTTAAATATTACTCTATATATAATATACATGAAAAAGAAAATTATTATTATAAATATTATATGGATAAATGATGATAGTGATAACGTTAGGATTAGTAAAGGCTGTGATACTGACAGACGTATAAGGCATTAAGGAAACAATATTAATACAAACATATTATACATACAATGTACAAATCAAGTACAAGGGAGTTTAAAAGTCTTAACCTCTCTCACTCCTTTTTGAGCTGGATTGTTGTTAATAAAACAAAACTGTGTATTTGTACTTCTATTCTGTTGTTGTTTTGTTTGTTTTTGTCCTTTTTTCTTGTTTGCCATGGCTCAAAATAAAGTATTCATTCATTCGTACTGAATGTGTGAAAATGTAGGCCCACTTGTACAGTATTAACGCAATAATAGTTACATTTACTTGCTTTTATTATTACCATGCTGGTTATTTTCTCTCTTTCAACTTTCACCATTTCTACCTACTTTTGTGTAACAAGGGTAAAATGGATGAGTTGTTATTGCTGACCAGCCTATAAGAAGCTGGTCACATGATTGACTTTTAAATATTACAGAAGCATAATTCCTGCTCGACTCAATCTGTAGCGTTTCACTGATTCACTGTCATCCAGTGTATAGAATATTTCTCCTGTCTCCACCGTCCACCATTTTGAGCTCTTAGGGAACTTTTAAGTCGCTAAAAGTCCTCCTCTCAACTCTTAAGGGATCTCCCCTTAGGAGCACTCTTAAGAGCTAGGATTCTTTAGGAATAGCTTTTATCTTAACTAGGAGCTACTCGTCACTTTTAGGGGAAATTCTAAGAGTTGGTCAAGATTCTAAGAAAATTCTTAGAATTTGGCCACTAGGAGCAACTTTTAGCACTAAGAATCTTTAGGAATACGGCCCCTGGTTAATTATCAAACCCTTTAAACTCCTTTAAATGGGTGGAGCTAGACAGAGGGCTCACTCCAAAGGGGTTAAAACCAGGAAATGCTCTGCGGCCCTCCCCTTTAATCTGATGCCGCATGGAGCAGGTAAGTTAGAAGCAAAGTGCCCTCCAGACAAATTAATAAACATGTTTAAACCTTACTATAGTGTTTGGTGTTTTTAACAAAGCCAACTGCTGCAAAATGTAATGCATGTGAATGAGTGAGTATGTGGAACTGACAAACTTGCACAAACAAGGCCCGGGATATGAGAGTGTATTTGACAGAACCTGTGTGTGTGTGGAACCAAGGGTGTACTAAGGGACAAGTGGAGTTGTAAGACTCACTCGTCACAGTGCTATACGCCACCCTCTGGCGGTCAGGAGGGATTCATAGACATGTGGTTACATACGTAACCTTTGTTTTGTCTGTTGTAGGGTGCATTCAGACCTGCACATTTGGTCCACTTTAACCGGACCAGGATTCGTTTGGAACTCTGATCCTTTTATGCAGGTGTGAATACACAAACGAATCCTGGTCCGGAACAAAGAACTGGACCGAGACCCACTTTTTTAGGTGGCCTCAGTCCGCTTCCAAACGAACTCTGGTCCAAGTCGATTCAGGTCTGAATACTGAAACTCTAGTAAAACACCAACAGATTCAGGTAATTTCAGGACCATTAAATGTATATGAGGATTTTTCCAAGTGTTAGGAGTGAACCGCCCTGTCCACTTTTTGAACAATACTCTGGTCTTTTTTGTAGTTGACCTTTTTATTTTTTTTCGTTTTATGATTACACGACAAACAAAACCAACAATTTGAGACATGGAGTAAAAATAATACAAATACATTCATATATAAACATACACCCACACATATATTCATCTATAAACATATATTAATGATTATAATAAGAAAAGTACAAAATGTATTACATATGTCTCACCAATAAAGTACAGGAGATTCAAACACATCCGAAGTATCCAACCCACAGTCCACCCATTGGGTATAGACCATTAAAACAATAATTTGGTTTCAAACTGTCACGGCTGGCTAAGAGCCATAACAAATAGGGAGGCGAAACAGGGGTAAAAAGTATATGTAATAATAACCAAAGACTAGTATAACGTGAACAAAAACAAGATATGAGGTGTGAGTATGTAGTAATCAGTAGTGAGGTGCAGGTGTATAAGTGCAATGAAAGCCAGTGTGTGGTGTGCAGTGAATGTGGTGCATAAAACAAAAGACAAACTCAAATGTGCACAAAAGGAATGAGCACGTTGGCTCCAGGCAGAACCCACCAGGACAGGACCAACCAAGACAGCTGCGCAGGAGAGAATGAGCAGCTCTCAGCTCCCAGCTGAGAAGGTCTGTTGATGAGGGGCGTGGCATGGTGCAGGGGTGTACCTGCACAGAGGAGGAGACGGCAGAGAAGGCAGCCAAACAGATACAGCACCCTCTCCTGGACAATAAGGGCCTGGCCGTAACAAAACTCACACACCAAAATTTCACAAATATTGCAACAATCTTTACATATTCAGATATTCTTTCACCATGTGTCATCTCCGATAAAAAAGGTAAATTTGCAATTATATTGATGCGGTTAGTTTTTCCATCATGTTAACAGTGCTCAGGGGCGTGCAGCTCTCTGTGGTCCAGGACTGGAGGACACAGACTGACCAATAACAGACTGATGCTGTAACACATCTTTGACCATGGACTGTCTTTTTACACAATACTTCACGATGACATTTAAGAGTGGACTAGCATTGACTACAAGAACTTACTTTACAGTGTTCCATAGTTCTTGATCATTAGATCTATGGCTATAATCATGAAACTAGAATCAAGTTACATGCTATGATAAGTTATATATCTGTGGATCGAAAGAGCACGGAGCAGTCTCACAGGGTGTTTTCACACCTGCACCATTTAGTCCACTTAAAACGGACTGGAGTCTGGAACACTTGCAAGTACGGTTCGTTTGAGCAGGTGTGAAAGTAGACCAGTTGAATTTGGTCCGGACTAAAGAACCGTACCGAGACCACCTTAGGGAGCTGGTCTCGGTACGGTTCCATGCGGACTCCAGTCTGGTTTGTTGCTGGTGAGAACGCAGACCGGCCTCAATATGGCCCTGCTCTGTTGCGTAGCTCACTTTTTAACACACACATTGTTTTTTTTATATGATAGAATAGTCAAAAACAACCGCAGAGTGTTCTCGTGCTGAATCTGTGATACATACTGGAACTGGAACAACAGTATTTGTGCTGCACAAAGCAACGATGATAAAAAATAGCCTCACACTAGAGCAGCACAGTTCATCGTTAAGGATCTGACAAGTTTGTTTTCTTCTGGTATTCTTCCCTCTTCACATCCTGCACCAATCAGGTTTCACATACATCATCCAATACACAGTATTTTGTGAACAGCGCCACCATATGGGCAGAATATGTAACATCCACAGTGGTTGGTTCATTTGCAAAAACACTGGTGTGAATGAGAACCAAACTAGTTGAGAACTGCAACATTGTAACAACTTTATGGCCCAAGTGAACCACTTTAGTGGACCAAGAGGTGTGAAAGCACCCACAGTCTCCCCGGGGTTCGTTGTGGCACTTACGGTCTATACTTGAAGCTATTCCTCTGTTGGCACCAGTCCTGTTCAGTATGAAACGCTGGCTTCTGCAGATGGAAGAGCCCCATCTAGGCCCCGTCCCAATACGCGTTTATATAACATTCAATTTAAACTTTACACTTAGTACAATAATCTTAGAGTGTATAAAAACTGACCAGATAGTTAGTTACCCACATTTAACTTAAAATTATACAGCTATCTCTAATTAAAAACAACTAATATACATGTATTTTAACGTGTGTGAAGCAATTCATTTTGTTTCCCAAAGGGTCAGACAAAATTACCTTTAATTTTTATAAAGTTTAGGTCTGAAAATGACCATCTCTTGACGAGTCGATGACGTAAACTGCACTCAGTGTGCACTGTCCCAATTCCACCTTTTGTGCACGCTTGCAACCTGCGCACTCAAACCCTTGTGCGCACTTCAAACAAATGCACACTTCATAGGAGGGCGTAGGGTGCAGTGTGGGTATTGGGACTGGGCCCTAGTCAACCCTCTCAGAGGAGCGAAAGCCGCCATGTTTACCTTCACTGCGAGCAGCACGTTGTATAGGACGTCACTACGCAGCCCCAAGAACTTATGGGTAATGGTGTTTTTTAAGGTTTGGTTCAATGGCGGGAAACCATGTACACAAGCCGTAGCTGCCGATTACAAGTGCAGATCAGTGATTCACTTCAATGATCTATAGTCAGCTGCTGCCGGACCAACAAGAGAAATCATTTAAAGAAACCCTTTATATTTAGCGTCGAACCAAAGTTGGTCTAACTTCACTACTGGAGTGGTACGTGCTGCTACTTCTTTTCTTATTTAACATCTGTTTCATGATCCCATTGACTAGAGTTGGAAATGCCTCCAAGAAAAAGGACCAGATCTAGTAAAACACCAACAGATTCAGGTAATTTCAGGACCATTAAAAGGTATATAGGAGGATTTTTCCAATTGTTAGGAAAGAACCGCCCTGTCCACTTTTTGAACAATACTCTGGTCTTTTTTTGACGAGCACGTATCACCAGAATGATTGACAATTTGGAGGACCAATAGTCTTGATGATCCACCCGGAAGTAGAAAATCCTCCTATATACCTATAAAAACCATAACTGTTTGGTTTTTGATGTCTTTCCCCTCTGCTACAGGTGAAGCTGTGGATGGGGCTGATGAAACTTCTGTAAAGGATCTTGAGAAAACTGCAGGGAGCAGGAGGAAAGCTGCTGGTTCAGTTAAAAGTGTAAATAAGGACACTGCAGACTACAGTCACTGGCTGATGAAGTCCGAGCCTGAAAGTCGTATTGAGAATGGCATTGATGTAAAGGTGAGCCGACCTTTAGAGCAATGTGTTTAATTATACAGTTGTTAATACATGTGTGTTGTTACAAGTATTACATCAAACATAATTCATTATATACAGTCCAAAAGGGAGACTACAGTTTTTGTTTTGTTGTTTAGTTTGGGATTGAAGATCTTAAAGCTTTGCCTGATCAAACGGGCTGCTGGGATGGAGTCCGCAATTATCAGGTACAATGTAAATGTTCACCCGTCCTTTTTAAAATGCAAACACAATCTACAGATAATGCTTGTCTTTCTCATTCTGTGTTTTATTATTTTCAGGCTCGAAATTTCATGAGGGAAATTAAAGAGGGACAGTTGGCTTTCTTTTATCATAGCAACTGTAAAGAGCCTGGCATAGCTGGACTCATGAAAGTAAGTTATTTTGATTATTCATGTGGATTTGATATGTTTCTGACACACTATTTCCATTCAAGATTGTGAAGGAGGCATATGTGGACCATACTCAGTTTGATAAAAAGGACGTTCACTATGATGCATCAAGCAAGCCTGAAAATCCAAAGTGGAGCATGGTCATTTCACTGATGTACAGTTGTCACTTTACTGAAGAGCACTATTCAAAATGTACTGTTGGGTTCCTTTAGGTGGACGTCCAATATCAAAGAATGCTGAAGCGATATCTTTCCTTGTCTGAGCTTAAAAAGCATTACCATCAGCATTGCACCAATGGAGGACCTTTGAAAAACCTTGCTCTCTTTACACGAGCAAGACTGTCAGTTCAACCACTAACTAAAGGTGAGCGTGCACTGTTTAATGTTTAGTGTAATGTGGTACGAGAAAATGGTAATACATATCTCTCTTCAGAGGAATTTGACTTTATACTGACGCTCGAAGACAAGGATTGTGGTTAAGGTTTTGATTTTTGAAATGCATTTAAATAAAAACTTAAGATGTGAAGAATGCACACATATTCTTTTATTTCATTTGTAACTAAAGCATGTTACTGGTTAGAGAAGCAATTAGAGTATGCAAAACAAGGACTAAAAATATAGAAGACCAAACATCAAATCTCATCAAAAATACAATGACATTAGAGTTTGACACAATCACAGAAGATAAAGTTATGATTTAGCAACACTTAAAATACTGGTGAGACTTGTTTATTCTCATTTGGCATCAATTTAGTTGAAATAAGAAAAACATAATAGTTAGCAATATTTACAAAAGAAAAGTGAAAAGCAGGATAAATGCAACGTTAGGCACAATCTTCAAGTTTGAGAAAAGTTAGTGAAGATTACGATGTTTGTAACAGTTTCTGAACACTGGAATGCTGAGGACAATCTGCACTTTTTCTCTGCGCACAAACCAACAAATGGTTATGCTGGACATAATATTAACATAATTACTTGTGGGATAATACTTGGAAATAATAAATCACCATTTGCAGGCATCCAAACGTGTTGGTGGCTAAAGCAGTGCGTTATCAGGATTGAGACCTAAATCATTAGGAATTAATATGTGGAATGTAAGAAATGTACAATTCAGTGGATAATAATGTTGTCCATTCATTAAAAAAATGCGAGGAAGACGATGACAAAACAGAATGTGGTCCCATGATATTTAGTAAATTACATTTTACACAGTGAGAGAAATAAGACTTCCATCAAAGTAGCTTGGAGCCAGTCTAATTTTCCATTCCTTTCTGGACGTTAATCTCCCTTGTTTGATCCCAACAGTGCAGTAAAATATGTGCTACACCATATGTACGATTAGTCTGTCTCTGCCTCCGTGTAAGGCCTGGTTACCCACTTTCCTCTTTGGCAGCCTGCTCCAGCGCACTCTCTGAGGCAGCGGAGCCCTCAAACCTCTGAGAGGCAATGGCCGCCTGATGAGACATGCTTTTCCTCACCACGTCGCCCTTTCGCCACAATGTGATCTCCTTCAGGAAAACAGTAGGATCAGTTACAACATTATACACATTGCATTTTTGCCTCAGTAAAGTACATGTTCCCAGTCTTTACTTGCTGTTTGAAGTATCGTCTTTCCTCTTCATCTATAAGAACCAGATTCAGGTAATATCGCACAGAGAACTTTTTGTTGATGTCTCTCATGGTGGGAGTGAGGTCGTAACCAGCCAGAAACAATCGAATTGGGATGGACTCACCTGTTAGAAAAAATAAATACAATCAAAACACTCTTTGGTTGGACTTCTCAATTAATTATGGAATCGTTATAATGGAAAAATGCTAATTATTTTGATCATAACAACAAACATTTGCCCTTAATGGGTTCTCTTGTACTTATACATTCATTACAGTCTTTGACAAATGTTGTAATTGGTGGTGATTCATGTTGTGGAAGAAAGACTAGTCTAGTGGTAAAATGCTTGATGATGAAGAATCGGTACAAATGAGCAACCCTTTATATTTCAACAAGATACAACAATTTATTTTCCGTTTGCACAAAAGACTACCCCAGTGTGCAACAGATGGTACACACCAGAGCTCCATTGAAATACTTCCATATACTCTTTATATGTTGTGTTTGCTATGTTATAAACGTAGCAAACTATTTATATGTATATTTAAACAGTGATATCAAAACTAACTATTAAGTATGTTAATTGCAGCTCCGCTTCTCCTCGACTTACGGACTTTCTTTCCAGCAGAATCATGTGCGTCTTACCCCTGACTGGTGCACCGTCCATAATCTCGTACTTTGCGATGGTGTCATTTTCATGGTACACACTGGGGCCTGTTCCAGTGGTCTCCCGCTTGATGATGTCAATCTCCATATGTTTTATTTTGATCCTCACCAGCAAGAAATAGATTTTACCCACAATTACGTCTTTGAGATGGTACCTGGGCAAAGAATATTTACAGTTATATCACAGTTTAGAGGCGAGTAAAGGGATAAATACAGTATGTTCTGCTCAATGCTTACTTGGATTTGTTGTACTCAAACTCGATGTGCAGGCAGTCTTCAATGCCAACTTCCATCTTGATAGAAGAGTTCAACTCAGGGTATGTGCTCAGTGTGTGCACCACAATGTCCAGCTCTTTACTGATGTCGTTCAGTCTTCTGATCACAGTGGCCCGAAGAAAATATCTACAAATGTGACAGGCAGAACAACAACATTCACAATGTGCACAGTGGAAAATACAATTACCAATAAACTACTCACCTTAACTTTACATTCTGTCCGGTATATGATTCATAAGGTTTTTCAACATGAGTGAACTCAAAGTCAAAGGTCTGGGACTGGGTAATCTCACCCGGTCGAGCGAGATCTTTTACCAGAGAGACAAACTCATGATGGTTTCCTCTGTCATAATATAGCTCTAGAAGAATGAAAGAAATTAAATGTTTCTTAAACTGATTCAAGGAATAAATAAGGGATTAGCGAATACAGTTTATATTTGGAGCCATTGGCATTTTTTCTGAAGATGAGATGAATTATTGGCTCTTACCTATTTGCCCCACAAACTCGATTTTGATGCCTTGGTGCTCCAGCCTCTTGCCCGGGGTTTTCAGTGTCACATTCACCTTTCCACCAACAGTTTCCCCGTCATAGAAAAGAAAGTATTTGTCCTTCTTTCCATCTTCAGTCTTGTGCTCGGCTTTCTTTCTGGTCTCAGCATCATTTAGCACTACATCGATTTCAGCATTTTGACCAAAACTAAAGAAACTCATGTTCACAGCAGCAAGGGCCCAAACAAGACCCTCTTTCTACGTATGGATATAAGATCTTACGAATACGCCCTTGCTTTGTGGCACGGGTTAAGGCAGTTAAAAAGCAGCTAAGAGGAGTGTAGTTTTGGTTACCTCGCATAAGCTACATGACCGTGTTGTTCAAATTAAAACATTAGGCAGCACGTCCAACACGGAGCAATGTTCAGCAGCCATTAGCCCCGAGCTGCTCCTAATGTGACGTCAGCAATAAAGCTTGGACGGCTTTACATTTATCTGACTTTGCTCATCGTAACAGCGCCCTACAGTCACTCTATTTATGTTTATCAAGGAACAAAACTGTTGTCAAATGAACAGGAAGTACGCCACTCGGCATGAACGACTTCCGGGTGGAGATTTTTAAATTAATGGTGCAAGTTACGTCGACCTGGGCTTTTATTTTTACGCTGATGTCGCCAGGGCCAAAGACCAAAAACCACTAGACCAGGGAAAAGACCAAAGACCAGTTTGACCAGTAAAGACCAAAGACCACAGCACAGCCTATGGTAAAATCGTATTTGTGTTTAGACAAACACCCCAGACCCGGGCTATTTATCTATACGTACAATATGCATTGGACAATATCCAATACTAACTATAAAGCATAGCACAAGAGGTCTATGGTATAGACCACACAGGGCCACAGACCACTGTCTATGGTAAAAAGCAGTATTAGCATTTTTGAATCGTTTGTTTTTGTTAAGTCTTACATTTGATCAATATTTTCAATTGCCCACAAGATAAAAAAAATATATATATTTAAATGGTTTAATAGAACAAACAAATAAAAAGCATGAACATTTTATGAACAGTGGACACTTCCTGAGTTGGTACACAGATCGCTGGCACTGACAGCTGAAGCTTACATTTAACACCAAGACACTCAACAGTAAATACAGTAAATGTTTCAACAGTTTTATTGCCATATTTACAATAAGGTATGGAGCGTAATAAAAATAATAAAAAAGAAAACTATTTATTTATATGTACAATATGCATTGGAAATTATGGGCAATATGTCCAATACTAAATATTAAGTATAGCACAGAAGGTCACTTATACAAAGAAACAGCACTCCATAATAAATAATACGTACCATTGTACATGTTTGCAGCATTGGTATAAATACACATAGGCCTTTGTTTCTCAGTCAAATTTATATGTTCATTAATACTTTTTAGGTTGTTTCTTTATTGGTATAGGTACAATGACTGTTGTATAATTGTGCCATTCAAAACTGCAGCTTTTGCCATCTGCATGTTATTGCCAGTGTACCTACTACAGTATTTACATTTGTTCTCAAATGCGGAAAGCAGGATGTTTGTCCTATGAAAAGTCCACAGTTTTGTAAAATCATGTACATTGTAGAAAATGTATCAACAGTTATCAAAATTAAGTTGGTTATAAAACTGTTAAGGAATGAAACCTCCTTCAAATCACTCAGAATAAAACAAATAAATCAGAAACGTCTTCTGTTTAGCAGGAACACAAAAGAGCAACTAACATCACAACATCCTGTGATATTATAGAAAAAAAGTATTGTTGCCACAAACAAATATTTAAAGGACTTTGGCAAGTTGGTGATTGGATTGGATGTGCATCAGTCAGAGAATAATGTGCCTTGTTACACCTGGGACATTACCAGTCATCGCAGGGTCTTGTATCTCATCTATCAAATAATGAATGAAGACTTGTGACGGAAGTGCCCCTGTCAAAACAACATAGAAAGAAATGTAACTGCACAAGTCCTTTCTATTCGTTAAGTCCTCTGCAGTAGTGTGTTTTACCTCATCAGTGTCCCCATAGTCCGTGCCATTATTCTGTGGTGGCCAGTTGTAGCTGTAAAACATATACATACTGAGCACAGGCAAAATGAAATAATGAGAGTAATCTTTCGTGATTCCAACCTATTCTCGTGCCCTTTTTTGTTGAAACAGCCCCGTCTGCATGTGTGGCAGATGGTGAACGACACGCAGAAGAACACAACCACAGCTCCAAATGACTTGAGGAATATCCCCAGGATGTCGACATCATCTGTGGACAAACGCAGGAGGATAGGAGTTTATACAATTATGGTGAGCCAGTTTTTAATAGGCTCTTTTGTCTGTTGCTTTGCTTAGAATGTTTCACTAAATGACCAATAAATCTACATGGAGACAGACTTTATGAAACAGAGGATGTTTTATCAATAAAAAACACCTGAACCTGAAGCTAAACTATGAGTAAAAACAAACTTCACTCATTCTTATGTAGCCAAGTAAAAGTAGCTGACAATACATTCTTTACTCATTCAAGGTGGATATAAGCTTTTCCCTTGGCCTGTTTGAATTTCAATCTTTACCTGTTGTAGTTTCTTTGTAATAAGCATACCCCCCACTGTGTACAATGTAGCTCACTTTTCCACACTCATGTTAGTGAAAGTAATGGGTCTAATTTCAACAACGTGATCCCATAGAACAGTCCAACCCACTCCATGTTTGAGTTGGTATAACTCCGGAAATCACATGTGAATCCATACTTGGTAACCTGATATTATACTCTTTAAGATTAATGGTTAAGTTGGATACATTTTCTGTCCACAGACGCTTTCACATAAATAGAACACAGTCACGATACTGTGGAGCACCCAATCAAAACTATTTTCAGGTGACAAATACTCCACTAAAAATCTTGCAATTCAGATCACTTACAGACTTCCATCACCATTCCAGGACACTGTGCGACACCAGCATCATTTTTGGCTTGACAGTAGTACTCCCCAGCATCATCTTTTTTCACTCTTTGAAATTTCTGTTGAGAAATATTTAAAACATAATTATCAATATACATTAAGGAAAATAAAGTCTTTTTTTTAGACTGCCACAGATTTCAGGCAGTATGTTTACATGGGAACACAATATTGAGAAAAGTACAAATCTCAATACATCTCAATTTGTCTTTTCCTTTAAGCCTCAAATTCTTGTCCCAGTGCAGTACACGCAGGTCAAAACATCAATTGACTGCCCAGTGTGCCTTGAGACGCATTGCCTTTGCTGAAGCACTACAGCTTCATAGAGTTGTAATGACAAATATAAACTGCTATCAAACATATAAACGCACAATTAGATACGCAGCACCATCTTTACTGAGCATTTGATTTTCAGATATGTTGTACACACATTTTCTCAAGTTCTGCATTTAAACGCCTTATTTTACTTACACTTCATGTAGACGATCAAAACAATGAAACAATTAAAGCTGAGTATAATGTCTCATACTAACTTGGCAGTTTCTTATCCCATCCACTTCGAAGCATTAGCTTGTCTTGACCCAGTCCTAATTAGCTTGGACAGTTAGATGAGTATAGTTACAAACAGTCAAACCACTTCCACTTCACTATTTGGGTTTGGATGCATTCAATTGATTTAAATTGGACTTGCCAATTTTTCCTATTAGTCCTGCCTCCCATGTAAACACAATACGTTTTACTATGTACTGTCTCTCACCAGGCTACCAGTGTCAGGGTTGATGCTGTATGAGGAGTTGGTGAACCGGGGACTGGCTTTGGGTTCGTGAGGCAGCTCTTCGTTGTTGTGGTACCAGCGGTACTGAGGCGCTGGAAAGCCCTCATTCTCCAGACAGCGCAGTTCAGTGGACGTTCCTACAGTGACGGCATCTGGCACACTGCAGCGAGGAACTACAGGTTTCACTATGCACAGGCACAAACACACAAGGACAGACTTTGAACCACATAACGGGATTCATTTCGTTGTTCGTCTTATTTCAGACTAGAGTTGGTTTGTCATACCTGTTTCCCCTTACACTAACGGGGTAAGTTACTGTGTAAGAAATCCCATTCCACCAGGGAATGTAAAAATCTGATTAAAACCCCAGATGAAGTCTAACGAATACAATAACAATTTACCACACAATGAGCCTTATGTTCTGGGTGGAGGTGGAAAACTTGAAGGAAACATTTCAATTATTCCATTGATGTCCAATAGGACTCATACAGGTCAGACAAATTCATATCGATCCTGTTAATCTTTTATGATACTGAACCAAAAAGAGTGGGAGGGGAGAGTTAAGTGCGTCTGCAGTACACACCAGGGCTCTGTTGTCGGCGAGAGAAAAGGCAAACACTTATTTTATGTTGTGTTCACTAACTTAACAGTCATCTCTCTCACCAATCCACCCAACATGCTGCTGTTTAATCCAGTCACAATAGAATGTTAGCTGGAGACTGCTCAGGGCAAAAGCGTATGGCTACAGTAACTTTGTCCGCCCCTGGCTCCGCTCAGTCCTGGTTCGGTCTTTGTCCAGACCAGTTTTCCATTTTGGATAAAGTTGGATAAATTGTTTGAGTGTATTGTTCCTCTTTTTGACATGTAGTAGTAGTAGTAGTAGTAGTAGTAGTAGTAGTAGTAGTAGTAGTAGTAGTAGTAGTAGTAGTAGTAGTAGTAGTAGTAGTAGTAGTAGTAGTAGTAGTAGTAGTAGTAGTAGTAGTAGTAGTAGTAGAATTTTGGATTTAATCCCCCTTTTAGACAATTTCAGTGATTTTGCTGTTTTTAAATGGTCATCAAGATTGTTCCATAACGTGACTCCACTCACTGAGACACATCTACTTTTTGTGTTTGTTCTTGCCCAGTTTTTTATTAAATAACCCGTTCCCCGAAGGCTGTACTGACTTTCTCTTAGTTTAAAATGCTTCTGAATACAGGGTGGACAAAGGTTGTTATATGCCTTGTACATGACAATCAATACATTGTAGTCAACAATATCATGCACTTTTAAAGTGTTTAATGAGATGAACATCGAATATGTCAACAGTGCAGTTTTCTGATTTCGTAAATGTTCCATTTCTTATGACCGTTTTTTGCCACTGGATGAACCAGTGTGAAAGGGCATGAGTATGAAACACAGTTGGAGCTATTAGAATTCATAACACAGCAATGTCCTTCCAATTTGTATTGTATTAAGTGTTAAGACTATTATCTGAACAGAAAGTGTCTAGTGTTATGTAATTCAGTGTTTTTCAACCTTTTTTGAGCCAAGGCACACTTTTTTCACTGAAAAAATCTTGCGGCACACCTCCAGGAGAAAATGTAAAAATGTATACAGTACTAATGTAAAAAAATATATACTGTACATACTCTGTGTGATATATAAAGTATATCTTATCTTATAATGTATACAGTATACTCTGTAGCCTATATTCACAATATACAGTTATTCTCATCAAAATGCTTAAGTCCAGGCCTTGAAATTAAGCTTTATTTAATATTTCTCGATACAATTAACAAGAGTTTGGGAATAAAGTGGCACTAACTGTGTGGAAAAAAACTAAGAAAATCCACTCTCTGCCCAAATAGTCAAATAATAACTCACACAAAGAACATGCATTGTTAGTGCATGGGAAACATTTTGGTATCCGAGCTTTAAATTCAGGAGTTTTGGATGAGGGACACGGGAGGTCCTGAACGCGAGTCCATGGTTCTGTCCGGTCCGCATGTCTGTGGTTCTGTCCACTCGACTACGGTCTGCGCTCGGTACCCAGTTCAGAAGTGCGTTCGCGAGAGCTGTTGTACAAAAATCGTACATTTCATAGTTAAACCACTACAACGCGGCCACAGCTACCCCGGGGCAGAGCGGAGGATGTTAATCCTGTTCAGAAACGGCATAATTCATTTTCAAAAACGTCTCTATCACTTTCACTTCTCACTCGCCACAAAGCTCTTGTCTCGCTCCCTCACACATTTGTTGGTCGCATCCAATTTTACCTTTCTCGCCACAATGCTGACCTGTTACAGCCAGTGGTCGCATCCAATTTTTCAGTTTCAAAGTACTTAGCTATCTGCTGCCATCTACTGATTTGAAAAAGTATTACATGGTTACTCACAGTTCAAAACAAGTCACCGCTCGTCAACAGCGAATGCAGCTATTTTTAGACAAAGTAGACGAATTTCTCACGGCACACCAGACAATATCATACGGCACACTAGTGTGCCGCGGCACAGTGGTTGAAAAACACTGATGTAATTTCTCACAGTAATACGCAATAACAATTCCATAGAGATAATGTACAATATTCTGTCATTTTCAACTCAAAAACATTTTTATGGGGCCCATCATGTTTAAACAAGTTCTTCTAATACACAGTAATTCCAATGTTATAAAAATAATGACAGAATTGTCAAATTTTGCCCTGTTTAATTTTGATTTAGTATTTACAATCAAATTATTCACTTCAGAAACAGTTTTAGTTTAAAATATTATCTGATTTTGTATGTGTATATATACACATACATATATCAATATATATACATATACATATATATATGTATATATACATATACATATGTGTATATATATGTATATATACATATATTGATATATACATGTATTATATGACTTGGACCGTACGCGCGCTCTGATTGGCTGATTACCGGTCTGATATTTTCCCATCTCGGACCGTTACCATGACAATTGGTCCGAACAGCGCGTATCACATTTGATATCTTTCCTCGGGCCGTTACCATGACAATCTGTCCGCAGCGCGTATCACACAAAACCAAGTCGGACATGAACATACTTCACAAATATCTACCAAAGTATTGGTAAAGACACAGACGAGAGTCATATAATAAAACATTTATTAACCTTGCTTGCTTGGTCTGTACAGAGATATCAGACCTTGGCCTTTTTGCACAGACCTCGTCACGGCTCGGTCTGTACATTAAGGCCGCGGTCTGATATTTCTCCATACAGACCTCGCGCTCGGTTAATAAGCCGTTAATATCAATAAGTGTTTCCTGCATTATAAAAAGCATGGACAGCAGTCCTGGTTGTACCTCTTACAGCCAAACTGATTAGGATCTCATCAAAGTCTTTCTGATCGTCAATAGCTGCTACTTCACAGCGGTACTCTGCCGTGTCAGAGCGGGTCGCGTTGAAGATCAGAATGTTGGCTGGCTCTCGGAGTTGGGCTCTGTGCTCCAAGTCGCCTTTTAAAAAGAGAAATGTTACAAAGGCTCATTCAAACACACAGTGCAACTTCACAGCCCACCGGCCAAGTCGCCGCCAACGTGTCTCACAGTACATTTCATTCAGCTTGGGTATGAATAGAAATTACAACGACTGTATTTTCAGGAAAATGTCAGTTTACCTGCTATCTTGCTCTGAAAGTAGACATAACTTGGCACCCCGTTTTTAATCTTTTTCCACTCAATTCTTGGGTTGTTTGTAGAAATAGACTCTATTAAACAGGTCAGCTCAATGGCTGTAAAGAAAAAACAGAATGGTTGAAAACTCAGGCTTAGGCATCATGGATCAGGATTAGAAAAGCTACTTTAGAGTATGACTTACCCTCAAACTCATTTGCCCACACAATCTTGTCCGTGGTTCGGAGGATTACGCTCAGTGATGATGGAATGTGACCTAAGAAAGCAGAGGCAAAACACTGATTAACCCTGATACCACAGCAAACACCCAATATTTATTTATTTTCAAAGCAAAAGTTACCATGCATCTACACTGCCCAAAAAGTGGATTAGAGCGATAAATATAGAGATGCACATGGAGATGGAGGTCACGTTTTAGCATAGAGACACCGACACGCCACTAAATCTACTTCCTGTTTATATTTAGAAGATTAACACATAAGGACATGTGCTTCTCGAATAAACACAGATTTGTGCATGGACAGCAGAACAGACTCAAAGCTTAAGTGCACTAAAACTAGTTCAAAATATAGACAGTTTGATTGTAACCTGGTCTACAAACGTCATTCAGATTGTATTGTTTTAATTCGACCTCGGAATTCTAGCTACTGTGAAATAAAAAATAAAAACTTGCTGATGGCAGCACTGTTTCACATGGGCTGTTTATTTTTTCCATTTGAATGTGTGCTTTTTCCAGAACATGTTGATATTTGAGAACAATTGCTGACTTTCCCTTTCAGTGAGTATGCGCTAACCTGTCAGTACACAGAGTACCCTTTGGTTTGGTACAGGGCACAAAGAGTCTCTTTGAGAGCTGTCAAATGTCTAATATTACTAGACACCTCAGTGTCCTCAGAGCCACATCTGGTTATGTGGCATGTGCAGCCTTCAGTACTGTAGGTACATAGGGCTCGCTCTCAGTTTGGTAGAAAATACAAGAAGAATAAAACAAGGAGTGAGTTTCCTGTCAAAAAGAGCTGATGTCAGACGTGGCCTGTGCCGCTCCCAGCAGACCAGCGGTTGTGTCGTGTTTGAATGACAACATGCCTCTGAGGAGCAGCATCAGACAGTCAAAGATGTGTCACCACAGCTCAGTCCTCCTCTGAGATGAATAATAGTGCATTACAAAACTCTTCTAATCTTGCACATGGGATGGTTATTGTCACAATGATGGAGATATGAAGGCCTAGTTTAACAATATATTCATTTATTTATGGGACTACTCTTCAAGGAGTCCATTACAGAACTCAGTCAGACACATCATGTTGCAGAGACTACAGTGATTGTTAGAACACATTATTAATTTAAGCCGGTAAAGTAGTAGAAAAATGGCTTTATAAACAAATCTCTTTCAGTGCGTTAGTCCTTGGTTTAGGTGGTGTCATTAGAGACTCTTATGGAGGCACTGTGTGGAAATATGCAAAAGGGTTTGTGTGATGTCCAGACAGGAGCACACTGCAGTCCAGGCGCTCTCGGACTTTTGGCCAAAAACAGTTCTGAATGAGCAGGAAGAGCAAGTTTAGCAGTTTTATGTTTAGTAGTTTGTCAATGTCTGTGTTGGGTGCACAATAGTGCAGTAATCCAGGTGGCACATGGACCTACACATTTTAGTAAATATTTTTGTCAGCAATTTTGTCTGTGTGTGTACTGTGTATAGTCCATGTGTGTGTAGTAGTGCAAAAAATGTCTTGTTACAGATTTCATCCCCCTTGTATTTTCAAATATGAATTTAAAACATTACACAACACATCAGGAAGTGTTGATTTAATTAACTGTTCTGGTTCTCTCCAGGCAAAAACACACGCATAAGCTGGAGTTCATCGCTTGAACGCTCTCCTTAAAGCAATCAGTGTTATTTGCAAATGTCAGCTCCAAATGCAACAACTTTAACATTTTTTTTTCTTAAATAGTGTCGAGGCCCTCTTTACTCACCCACTGAACTTACAATTAACATCACAGACTATTAGGCAAAATGTTTCTACGTCCTTTAAAACCACATACTTCAAATAAGCAAAATAAGCAAGTCTCTCTATTGGCCTGCAGACCTACATTCAGCATCAGTGTGTGTTTCTTTTCCAAATATAATAATTACTGGGTACACATGCTTCACGCTGAGTAATGAAGGCCCTGAGATTGCCAGAGAAGACAAATGTTGAATTAGAGCTACAATAATCATCAGGGACAGCTTTCAAAAGATGGTCCCATTTAGCCTGGAGCCTTCTGATAATTTAGTGCGACTGGCCTTGTTTGCACACGACTGACCCTGAGACGCATCGCATACATCTCTGAGCCACGAAGGTTTAGCGTGTTCAGCTCAAGCCACAGAGACATGTCGCCATTGTCCAGTCATATGTTCACAGCTGTGCACAGAAGCCAATGAGATTTGACTCCTGGGTCTCCGCTTCCGTCTGTTGCTGATTTTCCCAGTGTGTATGATTCAAAGGCTATTTTTACCGTGCACTAGCTAGATAAACAGAAGGAAAGCTTGCCCCAGTACTTTGCTAAAACTTATTGGTTTTACCGCTTCTAGTGCTGAATTAGAACATTCCACTGAGACAGCATTAGTTATGATTTACTTAACATTCATTGACTTGAATCTGAGCTTATCTAAGATCCAGAAACTGATCCGGTCCTTGGAGAGCGTATACTTTGTTGTTGTGCGTCACCCCCCTCCTCTTTGTAAACGAGGTCGGGCTTATTCACAAATTAGCATAACATACACTACATGGTTTTAGGTGAATTTGGGAAATGAGGCCAGAAGTAGGCCATGGGAAAAGCATTGCCGTGTGAAACGAATGCAAAATATGAGTAAAACACAAAAGATGACCCACAATGCATACGCTAATGAGAAAAAATGAGAAAAAGACTGAATTCTCTCCCATTGCAAATCAAAGTAGCTTTAACATATGCTGGCCTTAGAAATCCCGTTCCTAAATAGCCACATTCTGCAATCCTCTTATGTGCTAAATATGAAAACAAATGGCTATCTCCTCTGCCCAAAACAAAAGTCGCATTTCTATAAAAAGATATATTTTTTTCTCAGACATTCCAAAGCTGCATAAATATTCTTGAAGACAGAATTCTCTCCACAAAACATGAGGCATAGAGCAGGAACAAGAACCAAAGGGACGGGGCTGGTTGTGTAATAGGAGTTGCACAGACATGTCAGCCTTACAGAATTATACTGAGCAGGGGGTAATTGTTGAAGAGAGATAATTGAATAAAACACAAATGTCGAAAGTCAAAAAGCAGGGATTGTGTATAAGATAAATTGTAGTTTCTTATTTGTTCTCTGTGGCAGTAATGTAGACCAGATCATTACACTAATCATAAACAACGAGAAATGATGTGGTGATTGCAACAAGTATCCTTCCTGATATAACCTGGTCCTGGGAGTGATTGAGTGATCCAACTGTTCAAGCAATCATATTCTCACATTCTTATGATTCAGTCATTTCTAATTGTCACTGATGGAGTAGATTTAGCAGAGATACCTGAAAGCTTGTAGCAGCGTTCAGATTTCGGAAAAATAATATTTACTTTTTTTTGTTTTTGTGATTGGATTAGATTGATTTATTATCTGAGGTTGTCCTTGCTTAATCTAGGTCCTTTGATATGATACCCATAGTCCTGGTTTTGTTAAAGCTTCTGGTACTTGGAAATTACGTATGTGAAAAGCATAGCTCAGTATTTAAAATGTATGCTATTCTTTGTTGTTGCCATGAGTTAAAGACAGCCAACAAGCTTGACAATTCTATTAAATTGTTGGACCAAGTTCAATCCTCTCCTTTGCAAATGTATGCATTATTGCCTGAGGAATAGCCCAAGCCAAGTGTCAAAAACGTTACATATGCATTGTGGTTCCCTGTCACCCTCTCGCATCGTTTGATTCACACTCAGAGATAGGTCCCAGGTCAGGGGTTCAACGCTGACTGACGCAAGCTGCCATTTAGAAAGTCCCTCGTCCATCCTCCAGTTTTCAGAGAGCATCAGGGTGACCTCCTCCTCACACATGCACACGCACGTACATACACATGCATTTACACACACGCAGAGCCCACATCAGCGGCATTGATCAGCCGTGAGCTCCAGCTGTTATGGACACAGCCATGTGGAAGCATTTTGAGCAGCATCCCAACTCTCCATGCCTGACAGTCCACAGCAGATGTCCGTGACCTGCTTCACTAAAGTAACACTGCCTGCACAAGAAATAAAATGTTGAATTTAAAAGATAAAGTTAAGCAATCTTTTGTCGATGGCAGAGTAATGTGTAAAAGGTTGTTTAACTTGTAGGTTACTCCACACTACTGAATACTAAGTTAGGGCATGATTTTTACATTACACACATTGAATACTGGCATAGTTGACTTTTGTTATATTATTTCCTTGTTAATCAACAATTTTTCTTCTTGAATTGACTTGCATCAGAATAAAGGGTTAGAATAGTGTCAGGTTTGAACTCAAATAGGCATGCGTTAAATACCCATACTTCCCCATGTGTCATAGATAATCAAATCACTGTCAGTCATGCTTAATATGTCACTGTTTACATTCATTGTGGTAACGCCATTTTTTCCACTTTTGCTCTCAGAAAACGCGTAACATTATGGATCAAGTTGCTAGTTGTTTGTGGGAACACACAATGAGAGCAATGAGACCCAAACCAATGTTGTGAAAGGATACTTTTATTTATTTATTTTAAGTCATTTTAATTTGAGCTTCCTTACGCTATAGTAATGTCGTCACAATATTACAATTTGCATTCCACGAGCCTGGGATTTTACACACAGCTTCTACGCGCAGCGCTAGCTCTACTCCTGCTCGGCGAGGTTAGCAAACAGCTGGGATCGTCCTTCAAGACATGCACAATGTGGAACAGAAACAGAAGGCGAGGCTTACCCAGACTTATGTAGAGCACAAAACACGCCAGCAGCCGCACCATCGCCATCTTGCCGCCTCTCATTTGCGGTGCAGTTGCCACACTCAGCACCTCTGCTCAGGGAGGTATGAGGATGGGGGCAGAGGGAGCGGGACTGGTGGATGTTGCCACAGAGGAGTTTCCATAGCTACAGTGGCAGGGACCGCCGGGGCGGAGCCAGCGCGAGGGTGGGCCTAGGGTAATGACTAACAAGGGACTGCAGGGGGCGTCCCAGGGCTACAACTTACAGTAGACCAGGGGTGGGCAAACTGTTTCTCCTGAGGACTACATGGTTTCTATTACATGTCTTTCAATAATTATTGACCTAGGCAGGTCTCGGCTCAAAATGTGGAATCACAAACTTTGTATGGATTCATGATGTTTATTTAAGATTAATTACCCGTCTGATTTTTCATGTGTCATGTGGTTCCGTAATAGGAAAATACAGACTAAAATGTATAAATTAAATAATCTGATTCTGATTGACGAAAAATGTACTACACAAATTTCCAATTAGCAGCAACAGGTGTTAATTATAATATAATGGCTCCCTCTGGTGGCCACTGTGAGTTTCGCAGGTAATAAGGGGTTGCGAGGCAAATTAAGTTAGTTACCGCTCTGGGAAATTTGTCCTCTGGAGTTGATCCATCCTACATTACCAATGGGGCCCATGTTGTGAGTGGTATAGAGCAGTCTTTTTAACCACTGTGCCGTGGCACACTAGTGTGCCGTATGATATTGTCTGGTGTGCCAAGAGAAATTCGCCTACTTTGTCTAAAAATAACTGTATTCGCCAACGGCGAGTGCTGACTTGTTTTGAACTGTGGAGTAACCATGTAATACTTTTTCATACCAATAGATGGCAGCAGATGTCTAAGTACTTAGAAACTTAAAAATTGGAAACCCAAGCCCCGGTGATCCAAGATGGCGCCTTATTCAAATGAATGGCTTGTGCCGCTTGTGCTCAGTAGCGCATGGGACTTCACAGGGGCCGAAAGATTAGCGGAACTCGCCAATATTTGGGCATCGTCTGGTCCTCCCGGTTCTGCGCAGTGGACGAGCTCCCATGATGCGTTGCGCCAAAAACACGTGTGTGGCTTGCATGCACGTGCACAGAGGGGCTCGGCTGCGCTTTGAAAAATTAGAGCTGCTGATCAGAGCAGCGGGAGAGCGGAGTCAGAGCGGGAAGGAAAGGAGCAGAGTTTGTGGCAGTGTGGATTTAATGAAAACCGAAGGACTTTATTCTGGGTAGACTGCGTGAATTTAATCTGCAGTACCATGGGCGGGGCTGTGCCCATGGGTGGGACAGATATAAGTTAATACAGTTTTTTCTCAGTCGCTTTGGTGCGTTTCTCACATCAGACTTAAAGTTCTCAAAACTATTAGTTCAACTTCCAGAACATCGAGTCATTGGTGCACATCATCATGGCAGTTTCTCGTTCCTATGAACACATTTACATATTACTTTCATACAATTCTCTGCTGTTTTATAACATTTACATTTGCTTCTGTCCTGTCAGTCAAAACGAAACATACTTATCACGTCTGAATAGCAATTCCCTATAAAACCAATAGTCCTCATTTCATCGCTTGAGTCATCACATACAAAATTGTTCTCAAAATCTAAATTTGTAAAGCTAATTTCATACATTCCTTTATTTATTTTTTCCTGAAAATCTTTCCTAAAGCTTCAGCTTTCACTCATGAGGAAGTGTGTGTTTTACTGTTTCATTTGTCACAATTTTGCCATAATGATATTCTGTATGTTTGTTCTATGCGTAAAGACATGTAAGTGGCTGTATTTTTGTTGCACAATTCCATAGAATTGTAAAGAGCAGTAAATATGTGAAATACATACTGTACATACAGTACACACATACATACACATATATACATACATATACATACACACATAGAGTACACACATACAGTACACACATACCAGTGGCGGCCGGCCAATAGAGGGCGCTAGGGCGCCGCCCCACCACTCACAACTTTTACCTTGAATAAAACGTTTAAAAAAATAATAACATTAAAATATTTCGAAATGTATGTGTGTTTTATTTCAGATGTGGAAGAAATACTTTATAGTTTATGCTGAGTTGGATTGATTAAGCTCATCAGCGTTGTCTGTGTCGGACTGAGGACGTATTTCCGCCTCAGGGCGCAAAAGATTGCGCCCTGAGGCGTCTATGGACTCTCGTTAAAAGTTGTACATGCGCAGTAGCTCCTCTTCAATGCAAGAGATAAGACGATTTGGGGGCGCAGGAGAAGTGCGCCCTGAGGGGGCGGGATCGCCCGCGACCTGTACTGTCACTGTCTGTGACGTCCGTTTACAGTGATTGACAGGTCAAGCTGTGGGAGTTTGAGACGAACGTAAACAGACGCAAAATGGAGAACGAAAAAAAGAATAATTCAGTTAGATCACTCAAAACAATACCGTTTGAGAGAAGATCATACCAGGAGAAGGTTGAGGTTAAAGAGCTTGGACCTGATCAGCCAAATATTACCATTAGTCAGCAGTCCAGCGACAGGGGGAGACGGTACACTCGTACTTTTTCCAGGACCTGGTTCAGCGCCAAATCTTGGCTAGCAGCATGTAGCGAGGCTAATGCTTTATTTTGCTTTCCATGCCTCTTGTTTCAAACATCAGGATCTGACCCAGCATGGATCAAGACAGGTATGACTGATCTGAAGCACTTTTTAGAAAAGAAGCATGAGCAGACTGGTATCCACATGCAAAATGCCCTCAAATTAGCTATGTTTGGGAAGATAAATATTTCATCCCAGCTGGATGAAAGCTACAGGCCTGATCATGTGACCTTGTTGATTCTCGTGTGAGGCTTCAGTCACAACAGTCAGTGTAAACTTACTTACTGCTGGTATATATCTAGTCATCATATTCATAGCCCCCCCAGTAGAAAATTCCACCAGCCGCCACTGACACATACATACAGTATACATAGATACACCCATACATACAGTACATACATACTGCACATACATATGTGTCTTGTACTCAGTTACTTCTCTAAATACAGTCATGTGTAACTTTACTTTAGTTTTCGACTGTACAGGGTGTGTATAGTGCTCACCAAGTGTAACCGAGATCTGACTTTGTGCAAATGTGAAGAATGATGTGAGAAATGCACCAAGGCGACTGAGAAAAACTGTAATACCCTATCCAGTTCTTATTATAGATCCGTGATGAGACCACTGGATGTAACAGGTAGCGGGGAACATTGTGGCAAGAAACGTAAAAATTGGATGCGACCACCGAATATGGCTCTGTCCGCGTGTCTATGGCTCTGTCCGCGTGTCTATGGCTCTGTCCGCGTGTCTATGGCTCTGTCCGCGTGTCTATGGTTCTGTCTGCTTGTCTATGGCTCTGTCCACGTGTCTATGGTTCTGTCCACGTGTCTATGGCTCTGTCTGCTTTTCTATGGCTCTGTCTGTGCGTCTATGGCTCTGTCCGCGCATCCATGGTTCTATCCACGCGTCTATGGTCCGCGCTCGGTACCCAGTTCGGATGTGCGTTTGCTGAGTTGTTGTCAAAACGGCTGTCAGTACAACGTGGCCACAGCTGCCCCGGGGTTAGAGCGGAGGATGTGAATCTTGTTCAGAAATGGCATAATTCCTTCTCAAACACGTCTCAATCACTTTCACTTCTTACGAGCCACAATGCTCCCGTGCTCCCTAGACGCACAGACAGAACCATACACGCAAAGGCGGAACCATGGACGCACAGACAGAACCATACACGCAAAGGCGGAACCATGGACGCGCAGACAGAACCATGGACTCACGTTCAGGTCTCCTCTCGAAGTGCAACCAAAACTTCTGAATTTAAAGCTCAGATATCTAAATTTTCCCCATGCATTACAGTTTTTCTCAGTCGTTTTGGTGCATTTCTCACATCAAACTTAAAGTTCTCAAAACTATTAGTTCAACCTCCACAACATTAGGTCATTGGTGCACATCATCGTGGCAGTTTCTCATTCCTCTGAACACATTTCAAATGCTTTTGTTCATGTATCAATTACTTTCATATAATTCTCAGCGGGTTTTTTTGCTTCTGTCCGGCCAGTCAGAATGAAACATACTTATGACTTCTGAATAGTCATTCACTATAAAACTAACTGTCCTCATTTCATCGCTTTGGTCATCACATACAAAATTGTTGAACTAGTTCTCAAAATCATATTTGTCAAGCTAATTTCATGCATTCCTTTATCTTTTTTTTCCTGTAAATCTTTCCTAAATTGAACAATTTCTCTCAGGTGAATTTCAGCTTCACTCATGAGGTGTGTTTTATTGTTTATTTTTGTCACAGTTCTACCATAATGATATTTCTTGTATGTTTGTTCTATGTATATACATGTATGTGCCTGCAATTCTACAGCATTTTGCAACAAAAATACAAATCAACCAATCAACGTTTATTTGTAGAGCGCCTTTCCTACACAAGGCAACGCAAAGCGCTTCACATCCCCTATCACATCATGCATAAATCAAACACATTAAGAGCACAAGATATATTAAAAACATTAAAAATAAAATCACAAAAATTAAAAACCTTTAAACATTAAAATCACAGATGGGACTAAAATCATAAATAGTCACAGTGCATTAAAAAGATTAAAGATAAAAACAAAGATGAAAAGATAAAATCATTCAGTTGTATATGCGCAGCCAAACAGAATTGTTTTGAGCCTAGATTTAAAAGATGCCAGAGTAGACGCCTGTCTCACATTCTCAGGAAGACGGTTCCAGACTCTAGCCGCATGAATCTGAAATGCAGTTTGCCCATGTCTAGTACCGACTCTGGGCACTAACAGGAGTCCAGTCCCTGTGCTCCTCAGAGTCCGGGTCGGTTCATATGGCACAAACATGTCGTGGATGTACCTTGGCGCGAGACCATGGAGAGACTTGTACACAAGTAAAGCTGCTTTGAAGTCTATTCTCTGAGGAACAGGAAGCCAGTGCAGAGACCTGAGAACTGGACTAATGTGGTCGTACTTCCTAGTTCTGGTCAGGACTCGAGC